GTGTAGAGATTACTAAAAATAAAATCTTTAAAAAAACAATTAGTTGAAATTAATGAATAGGTGAAAGAATTAAGGTGGAAAGATGTCATTTTCACTCACCAGGACTGGCAAAAATGCAAAAAACCAGCAGTGTCCAGTCTGATGATCACCTAGGAAATGCACATTCATAGAGAGAGTGGGAATTATCATCACCTTTCAGGAAAACCATCTAGCAATAATAGATTAATGTGAACACTACAATTCTCTTTTATCCTACATGTTCCCTTTTATTCACCAATTCCACTTTGACAATCTACCTCATACCAGAAAAGGCACCAACATATTAGGATACATGTGAAAGGCCATTTCATGTGACACCATAGATAGATAGATAGATAGATAGATAGATAGATAGATAGATAGATAGAGACAAAAAACATGGGAATGGCTGAATAAAATATGTAGCTACAGAAAAGCATGGCTTAAATTGATCTGTGTATTGACCTAGAGGGATATCCATAATATTTTATTATGTGGAAAAGAACAAGCAATATGTATAATATGATTTTATATTTATTTTTAGAAAGAAAAGAAAAAGGCAAAATCCCTTATTTGTTTACATAAGTAATATGTGATGTATATATGTTATACATCTAAATATACATTCATGCATTCTAAATATACGTTTATGTATAAATAGACTCCATTACTTTCAAAGCATGAGGTTTAAGGAGAAACTGAATAAAGACAGAAAGGAAGAAAGGAAGGGAGAAAAGGAAGGAAGATTGATCATTCACTAAATATTAACTTTTCTCCCTAAATCTAAGCAAAAGTGCAGTCAAATGCTTCTGTGTCTTTGTATGCTGTCCTCACCCCACAGCCTGCTCAGAGGTCAGTGTAAACCAATTTGAGAAGCACAATGTGTTACAATATATACATAATATAAAAGGAAGCAGAGGGTGGCTGGGGGCACAGGACCTCAGTATCCAATCCCAGGTTCTAAGTGTCTGGCTGCCCTCCTGCCTGGCCACCCAAAACTGGGTCTTGAGTTTGTTCCTAAAGCCACGCCAAGAGGAACATGACAAAAAGGAGCACCCTTGAGGCAGGAAGGAGCAGAGTGAAGTATCTGGCAACCTCACTCTATTAGAAGGGAGTGAAGAACGTGTATAAGGAAACAGATCTAAGTTGAGATAGAGCCACTGTTTTCAAATGTTTGAAGGGCTGTCTTGTAGAGGAGGAGGAATTTAACATACAGCACCTTAGAAATAGGATGGAAGACAGAGAAGTGATAAGAGGGCAGATTTCAGCTCAGTGTCAGCAAACTCTAAGATTCCTTTGACCCCCAGCTTTGTCTTTTATAAAATATAATACCACCACATACTCTTAACAGTGACACAGAGATGCAGTGAGGATCACTGGGCACAGCCTAAGCCAGTAACTTGTAAACTAGAAAGCAGTGGTCTTCAACTTGGGCTGTGCATTAAAACTACTTGGAGAATTAAAAAAGTCCCGATGCTTTCTCTGCCTGCACCACAGCTTAATTCAATCAGAACCTCTGGTGCTGGGACTCAGGCATTGGTAAATTTTAAAGTTCCCCAAGTGATTCCATTGAAAACCACGGAACTAAAACAATTACTAGTTGGAATCCAGGAGATTGTGGAAAAAGTAGGTTTTACCTGAGACAGATCTGGGGGCCAATTTTAAAAAAGAAGCCCATTAATCTAAGAATTGGAGATTAATGTTAGAACTGACTCACTCTGGAGTGAAATCTAGACCATGTAGTGAGTCAACAGCAAGTGTAACAATGAAGACAGTATAAGTAATATTTGTCTACTCCTATGATAAGCAACTTGGGAAAGGCTAGTTTCATCTCTTTTCCCCAAAAGATATTCCCTAGATGGGAATATAGGGAAATACAACTAATGGAGTGAACCTTTCCATGCTTTAGGGAGACCCTGAAAAACCACTCAGGATATCTCTGCATCAGCTGTGGGCTGTTTACTGTATATAAGTTTAGGATGCATTTTTTTCATAGGTCTGTAATTGACTAGATACACTCATTCAATAATTTGAGCCTGGAGAGGAAGTGTTAATAACAGGCCACAGGGTACTTACTGTTCTTGTCCATTTCTAGCTTGTTCCAGTTATATCGGTGGTGGCCAAGCCATCATGCTGGTGGCACTAGCTGGACAGTGATGGCAGTGATGCGGATGCATAACAAAGATATTGTAGAAGCAGGCAAGAAATGGTGGGGCAAAGCATACAGAGATAAATCTATAAATGTAAATCTCTTTACTTCCCTCCCCTCCCCTGACAGTCACCTGCTTGGGGGTGGGGGGGGAGATAAAGCTCCAAACCCCAAATGGACTGCACAAGATGGGAGCAAAAGGATTAAATAGCAGCATTTGCCAAAGATGATGATGAATTCTATTATGAATCAGCCAAGTGACTCAGCAGCTGAATGAAAGCTTATCTAGAGCGTTTGAGCAAGGGGAAAGTTAGTCAGTCACCCCCTGTATTGGCAGACCCACAGCTGGGCTCAGAGCAGCAAGCAAGGCAAGGTCCAGAAGGCCAAAGGGCTGGGGAGGAATCTGCAAACAAAGACAGGGCAGGCAGCCACAAGGCTGGAGATCACTGGGAGAAGAGACTAGTGCCTTCAAATATCTGAAGGACTAGCAGGAGGGCAATGGACTGGTTTTTTCCTATATGGTTGTAAAGGATAGCGCTGGGCTTGGGCTAGCTCTTAAAGGAGCCAGACTCTGACTCAACAGAAGAACCTAATGCTATCAACAGCTTTTCTAGACAACGGTTTACATACAGATAGTGAGCTCCCAGTTACTGGGGGCATACAAACAGAGGCAGGATAATCAGCTGGGAAGAACGTGGTAGTTGGTGGTGGGGAGTTAGCATTCAAGTAAGGTGTAAGAGCTGAACCAGTTGACCTCTACGATCTACTCAGAATATTCATACTCCAATCATGTACTCTGGCGCTTTCAAAATTTGCACTTTTTCCCATTCAAGTGTAATCTTCTGAGCCTTGTTTGCTTAGTAGCTGGAGTAATCAAGTAATCATTCCCAGGGGACCACAGTTGTGGCTGTGAATGGTGTTATTTTCTTCCAAATTCTTTCTTCCTTTCCTCCCTTGCCCTACTTCAGCTGACTAAGGCGGATCTTTGCCTGACCTCCAAAGTCTGATTTTTACAAATATAATTATCACAGATTTATGCCTCCTGTGCCGGATGCTGGGGGAGCCAGAGGACAGAAAAGTTACAAGGAGTATGCTCAAAAACAGCTCCAGTGACCTCAGTCATTGATATGCTAAGGGGGAGGCAGTGCCCACAGGCCCACAGAAAATGTAGCTGTTACTGATGATTAGACTTTTTGTTTTTTTAAGAAAAATAAAAGGAGCCTCAGGAAAGAAACATGGCTCTACATTTTCATCAGGTGTTTTTGTTTTTGTTTTCTTGCTCAGCTGATCTTCCCAGGCTTGACATTGTCTCTGGTTAGGTAGAGTGGGACCTTAGAGATGACACAAGGCAGATTCTTCATTGTCCTGATGGGAGGCACTGAGGCCCAGAGGGCAAAGTGGTTGTCCGAGGTTACCCAGCACCTCTGGGCAGAGCCAAGACTCTAGTCAGAAATCTATGTACCCAGCTCCAGTGCCCCCACTTTTTCACAGGCCTAGAAGATTCATCCATGCTCCCTTCTGAAAAGGGGTGGGGTCCTAGTTGTCCCTGGACCTTGGGAAATCAGGAACTGGGCCTCAAGCTGTACCTCTGAAGTTGGGAGCAGAAAATTCAGTCCCCTTCCATACAGCTCTCTCCTAAACCCTTACATCTTACGTGGTTTTCAAAGTTGGCGCCCAAACCAGGCTGCCTAATCCTGCCCTGCCTACCCATCTTCCCCCATCAGTGTGAGAACCCCTTCAGGCAGCTGGACTTTTCACCTGCTGTGCAAATGTCCTGGGGTTCCAAAGTGAGTGGCTCTGTTTCTTCCCCAAGCAGTAGCTATACCTGAGGGGCATCTGGGGTACTGCCCTCTGTGCCAGGGCATCATGTGAAGGCTCCCATCTCTCTGTCACATCAATGACCCCTGTCGAAGGGACTCTAGAAGTAAGCCCTTCCTGTCTGTCGGCAGAGGGAACTGTGACAGATGGAGCTGAGTGAGCCCCTTGCAAACAGGACCTGCACAGAATTTGCAAGGCCAGATGAAAGATGAAAATTTGGGGCCTCTTGTTCAACACCTATGAGGAATTTCAAGACTGCAGCCATAGCCATCAAACCAAGCTTGGGGTGCTGAGTCCCACACCATGGAGCCCACCCTGCTCTCCCGGGCCCCAAGTGGATGCGGACAATAATTTGTTTAAGGTTCAGGGGGTCTTCTGGTTCCCCAAATGAGTTCTCTGCTCCTGGCTAAAAACATATTTCTGCTTGCTCCTCACCAGGAGGTCTACCAAAGGACCACCGCGGCCACTGTGGTAGTTGGAGACGTTCTATCTTTCCTGCTGTGTGCCCTTCTCTAGCACAACCTTCTCCCCGTCCCACCCGCATTATTTCCGACGCTTTCTACTTATATGGAACAAGAGATGTGGCTCGCGTTCAAATGTGAAAAGAGCCTTGAGGTTTTATTTTGGACTGGAAACCGGTCAGGAGCGCAGTGCACCCCTGGAACCCTGTGAAGGGTTCGCCCAGCAACGTTATGTGAGCTCAAGCACTCCGCTCCTGGGGGGCACCGTCCCTGAACTCCGAGCCCCGGGGGGTGGGGGGAGTGGCGCAGCGCCCAGCGTCTGTCTGCCCCAGAGCCGGAGCCAGCGCGGCCTTTATCGGTGCAGATGCCTTGCCTCCCCTCCCCTCCCCTCCCCTCCCCTCCCCTCCCCACTACGCGCGCTCCCAGCCGGGTGCTGTACAGGAGCACTCCCCCACCCTACACCTCCGCATCCCCTCTGGCGCCGGCTTCCAGAAAGCTCCCAGTGAATTCCACGGCGTTCTTTGGGCGTGAGTCATGCAGGTTTGCAGACAGCCCCAAAGGGGGTGTAGACAAGGCTGAGCGCTATAAATACGCGCGCCTCACGGTGCTCACCACGCGTCGCCAGGAGCAGCGCACGGTCGCCGGGCGCCGCTGATCGGTGAGATGTCCCCACCTCGCCTACCCGGCACAGAGCCCCACCGGGACCCACGGGAGGGCGGGGATGGCAGCCAGGCGAGGACGGGAAGATCGCTGGTACTCACAAGGCTGTCAGAGCTGCGCTTAGGATGGAATCGGGAGACCATGGAAGGGAGGTGGCCCGAGATCCATCACTAGGCCGCCGAGCTGAAGGCGGAATGGCCGGGGGTGGCGCAAGGGCAGGCCAGAACTGTGCTCGCTAGCTCCAGCCGCAATTCTATGGGTAAATACGACAGGTGTAATGACCTTCCTTTTGCAAACATGGGGAAACTAAGACTTGGAGAACGAATGCCTAAACCCGGTGCCCAGACTAATGAGTGGCGGAGCCGGTCGCCACAAAGGGCCTCCCTGCAGCATCTTCCTTGTACAGGTACTGATGTCCAGGGCTGATTGTCAGCTGGCCTGCCTGAGTCATCCTGTTTGTTCCTGAATTCTCTAGTTGTCCCCACAGTGTGTTTATGTTTGGATTTTAAGTACATGTTGCAACCACTTAAATCCCACCCTTTCTGCTTCCTAATGCACCAGGATACATCGGAGGAAAGTCATGCATCCTCCCTCAGACCTCAGACATCTGATCCAGCTGTCTCATTTTACAGATGATAATCTGAGGCCTGGAAAGGTTTAGGATCCTCTCCCAAGATAAACAGCGAGTAGATGTCAGAATCAGGATTAGAACTGAAGCCTTGATCTTCCAGAATTTCTGGACCTAAAAAAAAAGGTGCTGAGGATGATGATGATGATGATTTTAAAAGAGAGAGGTTAAGAATTTAAGAATGAGTACAGATACAGTGAAAGAATACTGGCAGGAATGTTCATTATAATAACAGTGTGAAACTGCATACAATTTAACCTTGCAAAATAGAGTATGCCAGAAAATGGACTATTACATAACCACAAAAGAGTGCTTTTAAGGACTGTTTGGAGGTAGTGGGTGTAAGGGATCTGATTGTACACAAATGCATAGGAAATAGAAGGAAATATGCCACAGTGCTAGTATTTGCCTCTGGATGGTGTGAATTTCAGGTACATTATTTTTCTTTCTGGTTTAGTTTCTACATTTGTGGAGGCGGTAGGATAGGAGCGTAGGCCTTGGGCTTTAAAAACCATGCAACTTGCCAGCTGCATGACCACTTTGCTTAGGTCTCTATGTCCTTCTCATGGCTCCCTCTCCCATGGTTAAGCCTCCTTGGGGGAAAGAGGCTGCCTGGGGGTGGTGGGGGAAAGGAGGGCCTTGGCAGGGTCCCTTTGTCCAATCAGAGCAACTGGCAGCCAGGCTGCCAGGATATGAGCTCAGGCAGTTAGTTGTAGGCAGTTCCCTGTCCAGCCCCCATTCTAGTCTGTCCGTGACTAGTTGTATCAATCTCACATTCGGAATCAGAGTCAGCATGATAACAAGACACGCCCCCGCTGATTCGTAGGTACTGTAAAGGAGCTGATCATTGCACTAGAGCAAAGCCACACAGGGAGGGACCATGGATGCCCGGTTCAGTCCCTCTGTCCCTCTCCAAACGTGCACCTCCTCCCACTGCCCCGATAGATATTGCCAAAGCCCACAGTTAGTCCTAGGTCAGATTTCGACATAGTCAGAATTTACTATGATTATATAAGACCCCTGTATTTACAGAACACAGTCCCATCTCTGAGGTCCAAGTTGGGGACATTTTACAGATGAGGACACTAAGGTTCCAATTTTTTTAAAAAGTTTTTTCTTAATGTTTTATTTATTTCTGAGAGAGAGAGAGAGAGAGAGAGGGAGAAAGAGAGATAGAGATAGCATGAACAGAAGAGGATCAGAGAGAGAGGGAGACACAGAATCTGAAACAGGCTCCAGGTTCTGATCTGGCTGTGTCAGCACAGAGCCTGACACGGGCTTGAGCCCATGAACCATGAGATCATGACCTGAGCTGAAGTCAGACACCTAACCGACTGAGCCACCCAGGTGCCCCCAACTAAGGCTCTGATTTAATTGACTTAGTGTCAAGGAAAGAACACTGGGCTGGAGGTTGGGAGGGCTGGGTCCTCATCCTGGGGTGGCCAGTCTGCTGCAGACCTTGGGGAGCCCCATCTCAGCTCTAGGGTCTCCTTCCCCTCTGAGGGGGAGTGATCGGGGCAGGAGACTGATCTTTTCCTCAGCTCAGAACTGGCCGGAGCCCCAGTGGATCCCAGGCTCCTGGTGGGAGTCTCTGTACTAGCTGCTGGATTTCTGGACTCCTCATTCAGTGCTCTTCTCGTCCAAACCTATTTCCGAGGCTCTTGTGTGAATTTCTGAGAAGGATCCAGGGACCTCTTCCAGAGACGTGTTCTTGCTGGCTTTCTCTCTATGGCGTAACAAAAGCTCTGTTTCTCTTTGAGGTGTTTCAGGCCTCAGTGAGCAGCTAGGGCAGAGCCCGTGAGCCCTGGGCCTCTCCTGGCAGGCCTGAAATAGCACCCCGACTCAGCCACCCACCCTGTCTTTGGGGAAGGCAATGACCCATTCTCTTCTCCCACGCTGCTCCTTTGCTCTGAGTGGCCAGTCTGGGAACCACAGCTTGGCTGCTTTGCTAATTACTTTTCGGGGGAGGCATCCTTTATTAACGTGCTACCAAGTGTCCATATGGGCCTACTGAACTGAGGGCAGTTTGTAGATGTTTACAATTTCAGGAAGGGGGGGGAACCCCGCCTCCCTGCTATGTTATGGGAAATGAGTAAGTTCAGATAAGCAGTGGGGTGCGGAGGTCAGAAGACGGGCTGCTGGAGAGGGGGATTCTGTTTTAGACAACAATTTCAGCTTCTGGGAAAGGGTCCATTGTGTAAGACTGGGCTGTCCTGCGCTCCGAGCAGTCAGCTGAGTGGTGGCAGGGCACCTTGGCAGGGCACCCTACTATGGGCTTAAAGGGATAGCCCTGTGAAAGGGACCTGGCAGGGCACAGGCCTACGTCCATCCAGAGGGAACTTCTGGGGAGGCATGGGACCCATCTTTAACACCTTGACTTTGCCCCCCTCCCAGGACAATTGCTCTCCTGTATTTATACCCCAAATCCATGCAGCCTTGCTCAGGCCTCATGCTAGGGATGGAAGATGGGATTTATTGTCCTTTGCCAACCCAAAGGGTTGTCTGTCACTGCCTCATAGTCTTGAAAAGCAGCTTTAGGTGGTGTTAAGGCTCAGTGGAGAGAAAGGTGTTGTGATTGGTTGGTGTTGCCTGTGGGCAGGATTAGTGGTGCCCACAGCAGGGGGCTGTTGAACTCTGGGAGGCCTTCCCCAAGTTAGGGGTGGGGAAGGAGAGGGCTGGGTGAGTCATCCCAGAGAAGTGTTTTGAGGGTTTATTTGATATGAGCAGGTATCATCAGATAGACGTCCTTTCTGGATGCAGAAAGCACATGTCCAGACTTAGTCAGTGATTCTGGAGGGGGGAGGGGAGGAGGAGGAGGGGGAGGAAAAGGAGGAGAAGGGGGAGGAAGGGGAGGAGGAGGTGCAGGGCTGGACCTGAGCCCAGGGCTCTGACTCCAGAATTCTCTTTTCTTCTGTCTTAGGCTGCTTCTCCTATGGTTCCTCCCTGTACCCACTGCCTCCACTTTCTTTTGAAGGTGTCGGGTGGTGAGACTGATCTTTTCTCCCAGCTTCCCCAGGGGTAAAAACACTGGACTTTGGGCTGAGGGGCTGGCCGAGGGCAGGGCCCCAGGGGAGCTGCTGTAGGCTGCAGGCTGGGCCAGGAACCAGCAGGCTGTCTAGCTGTTACCATGACAGTCTCCTGTTCTCCACAAACAGAGGCCTGCTGGGATTCCAGAATTGGAGAGGCAGGCATGATGAAGACTCTCCTACTGCTGGTGGGGCTGCTGCTGGCTGGGAAGAATGGACCGGTTCTGGGAGACAAGGCGGTCTCAGACTCGGAGCTCCAGGGTGAGTGGAGCAGGGATTCTCCTCAACCACGCGTCCTCGCTATCAGGGCCCCAAGCAGAAAAAACTGTTTTCTCCCGTGTACCGGGTCTGCTTTGCTCGGACCAACCCCTCCTGGAGCCTGCTTACTCCAAGCTACCTGGCCTAGGTGGTCAAGTGGGCTCCAAGGCAGTTTTCGGGGGTATCCCGAGTGCTCGGAAAGCACTGGATGCCACAGCATCCCTTTTAGGCTGTTCCCTTGCCAGTCTGCTTGTCCTGGGTCCCACACCTCCTTCGCCAAGGGCTATGAAGCCAGGATCATTTGAGCCTTGTGACTTGCCACTGCACCTGCTGTATGTATCCTATGCCATTCCACCTAGACACCCAGTGGTCCATATCCAGGCAAGGGAAACGTCCTCCTTCAGAGCCCAGCCAGCATCCCCTCCTCTGCAAGGCCCTTCCTGCATCCTGTCCTCCCTCCTCCCACCCTTGTCCTGTAAGCTGAGCACTTCTTTGGGGGTAGTGGTTGAAAACTCAGACTTTGAGATCAGACTTGGGTGATCAGGCCCTGGTGTGTCTGACTCTGCGACTCCCGAGATGTGTAACCTGGGGTAGGTATCTGATCTCACTGTGCTTCCTTTTCCACACGAATGCCATGGGGATGATGTCAGTGCACAGAACATGAAATAAAAGGTGTGTGAAGTGGCCAAACTCAGTGCTGGCCCAGGAAAACCACCAGAAAAGCCTTAGCTGTTACTCCTTCAGCACTTTGGTGACATTGTCCCCTTGCCTTTGTCACATGGTATTGTGTCTCGATTGTAGTCTCCTCACGAAATGGTGCCATTCACTCATCTTTGTGTCCCCCGTCACCTGGCACCATGGAATAAAGAAGCTCCGATGTTTGATTATACTGAATTCCAGATAATTGTATCCCAAATAATATTTTACATTTTGATGTAAACAGTCACACTTCTAGGATTTTTTTCCCCTTGGAGGTTTTCTTCTGTGGCTGGGCAGGCTGGTTCTCCAGAGCCACAGGGACATAGTGGCCTGGTGCAGTTTGCTGCCCCTCCTCTGGGCTGTGTCTGCCCCAGCAGGTTGTGTTCCTGAGCCGCTGGTATAGTCGCTATGTGGGCCCTGGGTCCACGGTGAGCCCTGGGATGGAAACCCATGTTGGGGCAAAGCTGGGGCCCGAAGGCTGCCTGCCACAGTGGGCACTCCCAGCCTCGACAGCTCCTAGGCCGAGCCGGCCTTCCCGACTCTTCCAACTGGTTCTAGGATGACATCCCCAGTGCTATCTCTTCCTTTCTCCTCACTCTACCTCCCGGCCCTTCTCCTACAGAAATGTCCACTGAAGGGAGTAAGTACATTAACAAGGAAATTAAAAATGCACTCAAGGGCGTGAAGCAAATAAAGACTCTGATAGAACAGACCAATGAAGAGCGCAAATCCCTGCTCAGCAACTTAGAAGAAGCCAAGAAGAAGAAAGAGGTAAGGACTGTGCCATGTGACCAGGTGACAGCGCCCTCCCCCTGGAGGCTCCCCTGCTAGAGAGGAGCTGTGATCCAGGGCTCCTGTAGTGCCCTGCGGGTTGCTGCGGTGACCATCAGCCCTTCCAGGCTAGTGTCAGGTGATGCTGGGGCTGCAGTTAAGAAATAGGGAAAGTTTCTTTGCTTTTGAAAGCTTCCAGGGGTGAGGTTTTGGATCTGGTCTTTTACAAGCCTGGCGCAGTGACCGATGATGCCAGGACTCACTTCAATAGATTTTCTAAACCTGGACAATGCAAGCTCCAAGGTAGGCTTTGGATAAGGTCTGTTCCAGGTCAGGAGGGGAATGGGGTCCTGCCATCAGGAAGTTTATCTAATATGGACAATACCTTTGGGGTTAAGGCAAGCATACACTGTATTGCCCCAAGGCTTTCTAGAGTTCTATTTCATAAAGAGACAGCTAATCCAATAGTGAAAGTAGCTGGTCTAGCCTGTCCTAATGATTCAACAAAACTAAAACATCATAATGCAATAAACTTATTTTAAAAATCAGTAATCCCCTCAAGTGTATCCTAAAAACCTACTCCCATTGCCTCCCTAATGAAGGAAATTCTGAGACGGGGTCACCTGCTACCTTCACAACCCATAGTGCACAACTTTACTGTTTTAAAGACTCTGAGGGGTCACCTGGGTGGCGCAGTCCGTTAAGCATCTGACTCGATTTTGGCTCAGGTCATGATCTCATGGTTGTAGATCGAGTCCCACATCGGGCTTACAATTCTCTCTCCCCATGCCCCTCTCCCCTGCTCATGCACTCTGTCTCTAAAAATTTTTTTAAACTTTTAAAAACTAAAAGAAAACGATAATAAAGAGTAAATAAATGCATAAAACAAGGGCTCTGAGAAGGTCTGCAGGGAGGAAGTTTGTGGAATTTCATTTAACCCCGTGTTTTCCAAGTGGAATTGATCAGGGCACCCTATTTTCTCCCCTTGAGAGCTGGAAGCCACTTCAGGAAATGCCGGCCTGGATACAGCTCTTTCTTTAGATACTTAATGCCCTTCCTTGGTGTCAGTGTTTGTTTGGTTTTTTTTCTTGACATTTTGAGAATCCTCAAGTAGCTCATGCAGAGGTGGCAGGCAGGTCTTATTCTGGACTTTTTATGGTTAGCATCAGAATTTGATATTCTACACTCCAGGCTCTGTGATAAGGCACATCACATTCAGGAAAAGACTACATTACTTCTTAGTTCTTGAACATGTGAACAGGGAAGAAAAGAAGGGGGTAGAGCAGTTGACAGTTATGCATTGGCTCTGCAGGTGGTGTGCTGGCTTTTCCAGCAGAAGCAGAGAGCCAGGGGTGCAGGGGACCTGGAACAGGGGAGGGATGGCTCATAAGTCTTCCTTCCTGCTCAGCTCTTCACAGTGTAGCTTTGCTTTGGGGTGTGGATGGTCTACTTCATTCTTCATGGAAGTGTCAATACATTCATTTATTGAGATTTAATATAAAACAGTGGAAGGGGAAAAGCTTTCCATCACCCTTTTACCTGAGGACTGTTAACAGTTGATCTGTTTTTTACTGCATTTTCCCCTCTATACTCTTTTGACAGCTACCGTATTCAAAATCACGAATTGTTAACATGAAAAAATGCTTGTTACACTATTTAGAACTTAGCTACGGACACCTTGCCAAACTACTTCTCCAGCCTCTGTGTGTACCACAGTTTGCTTGACTTGTCTTTTAGTTTTAAGCACCTGGGTTGATTCCAGTATTTTTTTTTCTGCCATAAACAAATACTGTAACAAATATCTTCATGCATAGGGATTTTCCCTTTACAGCAGGAATTCTTCGGGGTGGATTCTTGTAGAATTATTGGACCAAATGAGACAGATGTGCAAGAGAGTTTTGGTAGTTGTGTGACTTTAATTTTTAGTTTAAAAAAGTTTTTTAAGGTTATTTATTTACTTTGAGAGAGAGGAAAAGAGAGCCATGAAGGGAGGGGCAGAGAGGGAGAGAGAGAGAATCCCAAGTAGGCTCCATGCTGTCACCACAGAGCCTGATGAGGGGCTCGAACTCACAAACTGTGAGATCATGACCTGACCTAAAACCAAGAGTTGGATGCTTAACTGACTGGGCCACCCAGGAGCCTCTTAATGTTTGTTTTTTTTTTTTTTTAATGTTTATTTATATTCGAGAGACAGAGAGAGAGAGTCGGGGAGGAGCAGAGAGAAACAGACATAGAATCTGAAGCAGGCTCCAAGCTTGGAGCTGTCAGCAGAGAGCCCAACGCAGGGCTTGTATGCAAAAGCTGTGAGATCACAATCAGAGCAGAAGTCAAACACTTAACTAACTGAGCCACAAGAACCCCCATGACTGTGATTGAGAAAGTTCACTTATTCTCATTGCATACTAGGGAATGTGGCTGCAATAGACAAATAAGATTCAGGACATCTGTGGAGGCTTCGGAAGACAACATTTAAACACCAAAAGTGGAGAACAGAAAATTAGGTATAAGGGAACAGTAAATCCTGGGGTCAAGACTAAGTGCAGAATCAGAGGAAGGGAATATCCACATGGGTTCTAGTGGCCAGACAAAACCGTAAAGAAGCACTGGGACTTGAAGTTGAGAAGGTCTTTAAAGCTGGATGGGGAGGGAACTCCAGGCGAATGAGGGAACGCAGGAGCCCGAGGAGGGAATAAGCACACTGTGTGGCCAGCCCTGGGAAGACCCGCCCAAGGGCTGGAGGGCCAGGCACCGCCGTGCCCCCTTGGAAAGCATGGAGCCTGTCGTTTCTGTGTGGCTCACCTGGCCTCGTGTCCCCCTGTAGGATGCCCTGAGTGAGACCAAGGACTCTGAAATGAAGCTGAAGGCGTCCGAGGGGGTGTGCAATGACACCATGATGGCCCTCTGGGAGGAGTGTAAGCCGTGCCTGAAACAGACCTGCATGAAGTTCTACGCTCGCGTCTGCAGAAGCGGCTCGGGCCTGGTTGGCCAACAGGTGACAGGGGACACGCTGCTGAGGACAGCTAGGCTCTGAGCCGGGGGTGGGGGCGGCGGTGGAGAACTGAGTGAAATACACATCTGTGGTCCTACATCCAGTTCCAGCATGTTGGGGTGCTCCTTGCGCCCCGCAGTTCCCCCACAGCATACTGCAATTCAGCCCCATTCTGACACTGTCCACCTGGAGACCCCATCAGATCCCACAGGGTAAGGACTCAGGCCCACTATGGACGTTCCTCTCCACCCCCCAGCTTCAACCGCTTGCTACTTGTGCTTCTGTCCTACTGGCTAGCATGGAGGTTCTCGCAACACGCCCCCCCCCCTTGGGTTCAGTTAATTTGCTAGAGCAGCTCACAGCTCAGAGACACAGTTGACTTACTAGGTTGTTGATTTCTTATAAAAGGATGTAACTCAGAAAAGCCAGAAGAAGAGATGCCTAGGGCAAGGTGTGGGGAGAGGGTGGGGAGCTAACATGCCCCCTGAGAGGGTGCCACTCTCCTGTGTCTTCACATGTTTACCAACCCAGAGGCACCTCAAGCTCATCGTTTTGGGATTTTCTGGAGTCTTCCTTCCATAGTCACAATTGATAAAATCATTGAAATCATTGGCCATTGTGAATGGATTCAACTTCCAGCCCCTCCCCGCTCCCCAGATATCAGGAGGTGGGATTAAGAATTCCACGTTCTGAGGTGCCTGGGTGGCTCAGTCGGTTAAGCGTCCGACTTAGGCTCAGGTCATGACCTCACAGTTCATGGATTCAAGCTCCGTGTAGGGCTCTGTGCTGACAGCTAGCTCAGAGCCTGGAGCCTGTCTTCAGATTCTGTGTCTCCCTCTTTCTCTGAACCTCCCCTGCTCATGCTGTCTCTATCTCTCTCTCAAAAATAAATAAAACATTAAAAAAAAAAAAAGAATTCCACGTTCTAATTGTTCTAATCTGGGTTGGTTCCTCTGGCAACCAGCCCCCATCCTTAGGTGCTTTCTAAAAACCACCTCATTAACATAACAAAAGACCTATATTATGTTCCTGAGGGCTTTAGGAACCCCATGAAGACCGAATCTACATTTCTTACTATAAATCACAGCATCACAGTTTCATTCCACATGCCCTGATGCAACTGATCAGCTGCATTGGGCTGCAATGGGGCCTGGAGCGTCCATGATCAGTTGCCCACGTTGGCTATGAGGGCACAAATGTGAAGTCCTTAAAAGCACATGTGCCAGGTATTTGCCATCTGTTAGAAGATTCTTCTCTAGAAATTGTTAGCTGGATAACATAACAAAGAGCTTCGTAGTATAGCAAATCCCTGTGCCCACTTAGGCAGAAGGAATTAGGAATTTTAGCACATGAATATTGATCTCATCCTCCCCTATGGGCTTTGTCTGGTTGGAGCTCATGAATTGAAGGCTGTCAGCTGGCTCTTTGGCTGAGTAGGGGTGTGGATATCCTTCATGGTCAAAAAAAAGATGAGTCTCAGGTGACAGGTGTTTGTGCATTTCTTGGCCTCAGACGTCATTCTAAATTCTTCCCTGTTGGGTGGGTAGAATGGAAGTACATTGGCCCCACAGTTGGGGGACCAGAGAGCCAGTTCCAGCAGGACCTTTGGTCATGTGCTATGACCAAGGAGACCAAGGGGCGGAGAGGGGCTGGGACTGGCTCTTCGCACAAGCAGGAGGCCAGAAGGAGGCTGGGATCTTATCAACCTTCTCCGAACTTCCCTATTTTGCCTGTTACAGCTTGAGGAGTTCCTGAACCAGAGTTCTCCCTTCTACTTCTGGATTAATGGCGACCGTATCGACTCCCTGCTGGAGAATGACCGGCAGCAGACCCACGCCCTGGACATCATGCAGGACAGATTCAACCGTGCATCCCGCATTATGGATGAGCTTTTCCAGGACAGATTTTTCACCCGGGAGCCCCAGGATACTTACCACTACTCACCCTTCAGCTCATTCCATAGGAGGCCTTTCTTCTTCAATCCCAAGTCCCGCTTCGCCCGGAATGTAATGCCTTTCCCTGCATTCCAGCCCTTGAACTTCCACGACATGTTTCAGCCCTTCTTTGACATGATACACCAGGCTCAACAGGCCATGGACGTCAACCTCCATAGAATTCCCTACCACTTCCCGATGGAATTCACAGACGGTGAGAAAAATGTCTCATTCTTCCTAAGGGATGGGAACTAGAAGGTTATTGAAAAGCTCAGTAGATTCTAAGAACGTTGCCGGGGGCTTTGCGTGTGTCATCTCAGTTTCCCCCAGCAACTCCATAAAGGTAGTATTATTCCCATTTAAGGAGGAGAAAAGTATGACAAAAGGTAAAGGAGTGTGTGTCCAAGTATTCATAGCCGATAAAGTGTGACCTGGTCAAATTTATCCCTGCTGGACTTGTAATCTTCTTCTTTCCAAGTTTGCCGTTCCCCTTGCAGCCACTGGTGGACATGACATGGATTAGTCCTTTCCAGAGAACCAGACAGCCTTTGTCTTGGGAACTCAGGTGACTTTATGTGGATGCCATGCACATATTGATCACAAATTATATAATGAGCCCATATTACAGTTTAGAAAACCATTCATGGCTATAGCCCTGGAGCCTGGTGGAGAATGGGCATGCAATGAATATTTTTTCAGTGAATGAAGTCTAATATGGACATGAAAAGTCAATACGTTTAGAAGTGATTTCCTTCATTGAACTAATAGACATGGTTGGCCAACACCATCTCCTAAATGCTGCAGTGTGTTGGCTTGATACAGTCTGGAAATACAGAACCTTGAACCTTGAACTGAATAGCATCTACTGTGTATCTGTAATGAGGAGAGCTCTGTGTTATAAAGAGGCTCAAACGAGGACCCCCTTCCTGCCTTCAAGGGGCTTGCAGACTGGCTAGGGGGAGAGAAATGAGCCAAATGGTTCTGATGCCAAAGAGAGGCGTATGGAATTACGGCAGTGTGGTGGCAGGAGGGCCTCATCACCCAGAGATGGTGGGAGGTGAAGCCAGGGATCCCCCAATCAGTTGTGCAGGCAGATGACTAATTTCCAACCTGCTCTGCCCACAGAAGCATCTCAGAGGGGCAAACAGTAGCATGGAAGGATCAGAGAGGTGGGGTGGCCCATCACTGTATTGCTCTGTGCGGGCCCTTGGCATGACTCCCTCTTCTCTCTTGTGTCTCCAGAAGACAGCCAAGACCGTACTGTGTGCAAGGAGATCCGTCACAACTCCACAGGGTGCCTGAGGATGAAGGACCAGTGTGACAAGTGCCAGGAGATCTTGTCAGTGGGTGAGTCAGGGAGCCCTGAGTCCCTGGTCCCTCTCTGGGGCTCCCTTTGTGGGGTCAGACTCATGGGACTTGAAATTCCACTCTGTTGCCTTCTGGCTATGGCACTATGGCCTTGGCCCTACTCCACCTGGGCCCTCATCTGTAGATACGGGTCAAGATGTAGGGCTGTCCCTGAAATCGGGAGACGGCATGTTTTGATTTCCCCAGTGATCTTCTTCCCGATGGCCCACCCTGGCAGACCTCCTCATTTTTCCCTGCAGATGAGGGAACTTTAGATAATAAGTATTCTATTTAACAAACACTTACCATGTGTACCCTTGGCACTGTTGTGAACACTTTGCAAACATTTACTCATTTCCTCAGAATGACCCTGAGTTGGGTATAGTTATTGTCTCTTTCTTAACAGAGGTGAAATCTTGTAGTCAAGAAATGGCTGAGTAACTTCCTAAGATTATAGAACACCCTTATGTGGGGAACTAGTTGTTTTAGATATGTTCTTTACTGGTGTTTGGTGTGATGTCCCTGGAACACATGGGTTACTGGTAGTGGCTCCTTCGCTTCCCAGCAAAATACCCTTTGGTTGGTTGGTCCCCAAAGCAAAGGTCCTCACTGAACATGATAACAAGGAGACATGATAACATAAGCCATCTGTTAACACGTATTTCATATTTAACGTGTCTTAGTACTGTATTCTTAAAGTAAGCTAGAAAAAAGTGATTAAGAAAATCATAAAGAAGATAGGGTGTCTGGGTGGCTCCGTCGGTTAAGCATCCGACTCTTGGTTTTGGCTCAGGTCATGATCTCACAGTCGTGAGATTGAGCCCTGCACTGGGAGCCCCACTTCACATTCTCTGTCTGCCTCTGTCTCTGTCCCCTCTCTCCCCCACTCCCGCTCACCCTCTTGCTCTCTCTCTCTCACTCAAAAAAGAAAGAAGGAAGGAAGGAAAGAAAGAGAGAAGGAAAGAAAAGACAAGACAAGACAAAGAGAGAAAGAAAACCATAAAGAAGAGAAAAATGACATTTACAGTACAACACCTGGTATAGAATCCTCACTGTGGACTCATTCGAGGGTCGACTGTATTTCCCCTTCAGCTGTTGCCCTCAGTTTTATTAGATCTGCTCATCGACAGTTTCCTGTTTCTTTGTGTTGGTTCCTGCCACACGACAGTCTGTGTTCAGAAAAGTTAATTGTTCCCCTGTACATAACAGATCAATCTGTGGCTTTGCTCTTAATACATTCGGGTTTGCCAGGGCAAGCCTTCAGAGTCTAGTTAAATATTGCTAGCCTCACTCCTATAATTTTGGAACCCACTGCAAAATAAATACAAGTGCTGTGAGAGGCTGATATGCAAAGCGTAGATGAGTACTCAACCAAGCCTCCTGGGCTTTTCCCATAAAATATCATAGTTAGAGTTGCAGAAATTACACAGTACTTTGCCTCAAGAAAGTCCTGTTTAGGGCCAGAAAGAGATGCACAGATGCCTGGGCTCAAATTGGCATCCCTACCATTGAACTTTTTTTTTTGTTTGTTTGTTTATTTTGAAAGAGAGAGCCTGCATGAACATGGGGTGGGGGGAGGGGCAGAGAGAGAGCACGCTGTCCATGCTGAGCCCGACTCAGAGCTCAAACCCACGACCGTGAAATCCTGACCTGAGCCAAAATCAGGAGTTGGACGCTCAGCCAACTGAGCCACCCAGGCACCTCCCCGCTGCTTCCACAGCACTGGTATTAATGGTCACTGATCACAGCTTACCTAAACTACCTTCTTTTCTACATTGAGAGTTATCACCTCTTGTCAAAGGTGCTTGCAACCAAGTGAGCACACACTGCCCGAACACTCTAGACCAGAGTTTTTCAACTTTGGCACTCCTGACATTTTGGACCAGATCATTTTTTTGTCACGTGGGACTGTCCTGTGCCCTGTGGACTGTTTAGCCACCAGGCGCCAGTAGCCTCCCTTCCCCAGCAGTCCTGACAACGAAAACAATTTTCAGACCTTGCCAAGTATCCCCTGGGGGGCAGCAGACACCTCCCACCCCCCAGTTGAGATCCACTGCTCCAGTCAGTCTTGGTTCTCAATGGCTTTCCTTATTTTTTAATTCTCCCCTGGTGAAAGAGTTAAGATTATTCAACCTGGCTTTTGTTTTTTGCCCCACCTAACATTTTTGAAATTTTAATACGAATGATTACATTTAATTTAATCACTAAGGGTAATCATTTATAGTCACTGCAGTGTGCAAAGATCTGTCCTCTCCCGACTTGGCTTGGGTTTGGTGTACCCTTCTTGGGATATTTTTTAGTAAAATTAGGGAAAGAAAATCAACAGTTTTTAAAGAGATAGTGGGTAGTTGCCAGCTCTGATCAGTCTGAAAACTGCAGTGGGCATTCAGGGACCAAAAGGAATGAGCTGTGTCTTCTCTGTCCCTCTGGTGAGCATGGTGACCAGCCGTGGTGGGCAGATGGGCAAGCCGGGATCCCCAGACACACAGGCTGCCGTGCTTTGTGCCCCAAGGATCCTGGCCAGCCCTTCTGCCTCAGGGACTGTTGGTACTAGATTTCCAACCCTGCAGATATGCTCCAAAGACAGGCTTGGAGAATTTTCCAGAGCCACAGACTCAGAGTAGGAAGAGCCTGGCCCCATGAATCATTTCTTTTATGACTTTAGGCAATGGATTTACCTCTGCAGGCCTCAGTTTCATTACTGGTAACACTTAAAGGCAGCATAGATGTGATTATTGGAGATAGTGGATTTCTAAAGAACTTATGTAGTATCTGGTACCGAGTAGGTGCCCCACAAATGGTCGCTCTGAGTAACCCCTCCTTCGTTCTGGAAATGATGCATCTAGGGACTAGGGCAGCGAGGGCAGGTCTGGGTCAGTGCTCCTCAAAAGTGCGGTCAACACTGCTTGTCGCCAGTCTCCAAGAGGATAAGGGTTTTGTACCCAAAGGTAAGTCAATGACATCCCTAAAGACACTTTTTAGTTCAGGTGACATTGTTTTCCAGAGCAAGATTTGACGGCTGAAGGAAGCTGCGTGCTGACTTATATTCCAGGATGAGACTGATGGCACGTGGTTTGTGGTTCGGCACTTACAGTAGCCCTGCTTTCGGTCCTGGCTCCAAGGACGGATTTCCATTCATTCCTTTTTAGCTTTCCCTTCACATTTCTGCCTTTTCTTCTTCATCTCTGGGCAGACTGTGCTGGCAGCAACCCCTTGCAGGTGCAGCTGCGACAGGAGCTCAACAGCTCCCTCCAGATAGCGGAGAAGTTCACCAAGCTGTACGACGAGCTACTGCAGTCCTACCAGGAGAAGATGTTCAACACGTCCTCGCTGCTGAAGCAGCTGAATGAGCAGTTTAGCTGGGTGTCCCAGCTGGCTAATCTCACTCAGAGCGAGGACCCGTTCTATCTCCAGGTCACTACGGTGAGTCGTGTCCTGACCATGCCCTGAAGCTTGGGGGCGTGATCTGGAGGCGACGTGAACCTTCCCAAGGAGTAGATGGGATGAAGATATTAAAGGGAGTCCTTATGCTTCAGATTGAGCTTATGTCATATTGCAGGAAACATAAGAGGTTTTTCATACATGGTTGCATGGAAGTCTCATCACCCAGTGAGGTGTAGAACATCATGCTCCCATTTTATGGTTGAGGAAAGGGAGACAGATTCAACAGCTTGCCCAAGGGTTAATAACTGATAGGTGACTCACCTGGGCAGTTGAACTTGTGTGCTTGGCTGGAAAGCCTATGATCTCCCCATGAGGCTGCCTTGCTGCCCTGTGCTGTGTCGAGTGCCTCATGAATTGGGGCATTATTCTCTACCAGTGATAGAAAGCTTCTCTCTAGTGCTGGGAGCTCTTTTTTTGTTTTTCTTTCCCCAATTCCTTTTCTGCCACTGGCCCAGGCAGCAGCTGCCCAAAGAAAACATGGTGGCTTAGAAACATGCGGGGCTCCCCATGGGCTTGTCCTCTGCAGACAATGTTTGTACCTACAAACAAATGTCTCTGAAATAGGGCATTTCTGTTCACAGAGTTACACAGATGTCTAAGTTAGTCGAAAGCAAAAAGCAACTGTCCAGATTTTAGCCTGGCTTTTGCTGCAAAACAAGTCCACTTGGACCAGCATTTCAGTTCTTCTCTTACTGTTTTTCCTTCTAGGTGAGCTCGCAGACTTCTGACTCCAATGTTCCCTCTGGCCTCACTAAGGTGGTCGTGAAGCTCTTTGATTCCGACCCCATCACTGTGATGGTCCCAGAAGAAGTCTCCAGGAACAATCCTAAATTTATGGAGACCGTGGCAGAGAAAGCCCTTCAGGAATACCGTCAAAAGAACTGGTGAGTATGCAGGCCTTACCTGTTGTCCCTCCGGGCCCCGCAGGTCCCCAGGGGCCAGAAACGACAGCATATCCAGCTTGGGAACGATGGCTCCGGGAGCCAGAGCCCAGGCACAAAGCCAGAAGATCACTGGACATTTTAATTTTCCTTGGAAGGATGATGACCTTTCTTTATTGATAAGAATTTGAGTATTGGTTGCTGCCTCTCAGTGAATATTGAGCCCTCACCTTCCATTTCCCTTCATTTTATTTTCAGGGAGAAATGAGATATGAACATTGCCTCTCCAGATATGGGGGCATCTGAGTTCAGCTGCCCCCCAAGATGAGCGATAGGCCTAGAGAGAACTCTGCATGTCACCACGTGACCAGGCCTTGCCTCAAGGCCCTCCTGTCCCTTCACCCAGCCTTTCCTCCCTCTGGACTCTGCATTGTAATGCCTGCGTTTGCTGATCACGGGAAGAACTCCCACGTGCCACTAATTCAATAAAACCAGTAATCAGAATGTTCTAGGGTGTCCTCCTTGTATGCTGTTTTTTTCTGTCTCCCACACACCTTCATTTTAGTACCAAAAAAAAAGTAGAAAAAAAAAGCAGTAGCAAAGATGGTATAAGGAGTATCATATAATTGAGAATAAACAGAGTGTGACAAAGGTAAACCATAGGATTCTTGCTCTTAGGGGAAAGAGATGTGTTCGAATGGCCAAGTGAAATAAATTTCGGAAAAATGAATTTTTTCCATTCCATTATAAAACCGTTGATGTTTTCCTGATTGGGGTAGGTGAGATCTGAAGGAATACCTTGAAAATCAGAGTGATAAGGGGATACTAACAAGGCATACTGAGTATTTTAATACACAATTGCTATTTTCCTAATAGAAACTGTTGTCCCTAAAAGGAAAAACGAGGCGATTTCCTTTTCATTTGGAATGTGGGTATTGTGGGTATGCTGCCAATCCGTACAGCCCTTACATCTGTCCACTCCACCATGATTTCTCTTCCACTTGGGTTTTTCCTGATGAGGAGTTCAAACAAGTCGGGGAAAAAAAAAAAAAAAAAAAATCTGGCTGGGCTGCAGTACCCCATGCTGCCAGCAGGTGGCCCTGCCTACCTGTGGTACTTCCCTCAACATGAAGTTACTAAGCATTTCCATTTAGGAGTATTTTCTAGCCATAGAATTCTTTTCATAAAATATACTTCTCGCGAAGAAAAAACCATCTTTCTGCATTCCAGATTTGTAGCTAAGTCTACATTATAAATTAAAAGCTTAGAATATTCTTACATCACCTGTTAGTTGTCTCTCCCTTCTTTAAGTTATAGGGACCTCTGCCACATAAGGAACAGACTCCGAGGCTTAGCTGAGCAAAGAAGTTGGTATTTTAGGGGTTCTTGGGTGGCTCAGTCGGTTAAGTGTCCGACTTCGGCTCAGGTCATGATCTCACCGCTCATGGGTTTGAGCCCCACTTCGGACTCTGTGCTGAGAGCTCAGAACCTGGAGCCTGCTTCAGACTGTGTCTCCCTCTCTCTTCCCCTCCCCCACTTGCACTCTATCTCTCTCTCAAAAATGAATAAATGTTAAAAAAAAAAAAAAAAGCTGGTATTTTAGTATTCCTTGCAAGGAAATTCAGAGTAAAGTTAGTATGGTTCGCTTAATGATCTGTATTAATTAGGGTTATGAGTTCAAAAGGCATTTTGCTAAAATGATGTAAATTGTACACCACATTAATGTCACATACCAGATTTAAAAATTTATTTTTTGTTTTCTATTATGTCTCTAGATTCTGGCAGCCACAATATCCAGATGTTGCTTTTTATGCGATCTACTTTATTTTTAATTTTTAAAAAATGTTTATTTTTGAGAGAGACAGAGACAGAACACAAGCAGGGGAGAGGCAGGGAGAGAGGGAGACACAGAATCCAAAGCAAGCTCCAGGCTCCAGCTGCCAGCACAGAACCTGATGTGGGTCTGGAACCCAAAATCCGCGAGACCATGACCGGAGCTGAAGTCAGATGCTCAACCAACTGAGACACCCAGGCATCCATATACAGTCTAGTTTAAACTGTTCTAGGTTAGCACCTTAAAACACAGCCCGAAACTGACTGAAGCTTGCTGGGACCCAATCTGTCGATCTTCTTTCCCCCTTTGTATGGTGGCCTTGTTGAGGGTCCATGAATATCTCTCCATCACTGACCGAGGTCCTGGCCTGAGGCACTAGAAAAAGCAAGGCAGGACATGAGATCACCAATGCGCAGAGATGAGAGCAGGGGGACCATGGTTAATGGGCCCTTGATTTTTGGCTTCTAGGATTATTGTGGCAAAGTGGGAAGAGCACTAGATGTTCTGAGAAGAGAGGACCTAGTTTTTGGCTGTAAACAGTGGCATCGCCAACCTGCAGTTAGGCCCTGTGTTGACACTTGATGGCCTTCTTCCAGGAAATTGTAACAAAAAGGAACCTCTGTTCACTACACCTTGAAATGACACTGAAATTACACAGTGAGCAGCTTGTGCAACTGTACCAGCTGCTGTGAGCCAGCCAAAGTGCTCTACTACTTGGGCCAATTGCCTGATGTAATCCCATTAGGTCCCACAGATACTCTGTAGGCACATTACAAAGGCTTCTAGGAGTAACCTTCATTAAAAAAATGTGGGACCTAGGGGCCTGGATGAAAGAACATCTGACCTCTGTTCCTTGTGCCCCACAGAGACTATTGAAAGGGATCAGGTTGCCCACCTTTTGCAGTGAAGTGGCAGGGAATAGGAGAGGGCTGGGAGCCAGGACGCTGCCCATGAATGCAGAGCAGAGCTCGCCACTAAGTGATGCGGTGGTGGGTGAATGGAAGGCCATTTAGCCCAGGCTTCATTTTCCTAAAGGGCATCCAATCAGACTTTTGATGTCATCTCCACTGGGGTTACACTTTGATCACAGAGTCACAGTGACAGGATCAAAGGAAAATGCTCGCCCTATAACAGTACCTTCATCCCACCGAGAGGGGGCTGGAGGTTTGGACTGCTGGCAAGGGTCTAAGTCAGAGAGAGGGACTGCTGTCTGTCCAAGTGAAGTTCAAAGGCAGCCCAAGGAAACCATCATCCTGTCTACAAGGAGAAGAGGCCACCTTGCACTAACCCTCTAGGTGTCCAGACCAAGCAAGACCCCTCCCCACCTCAGATAACCTCAGACAGCTTAAGCAGGGAGAATGGAGGGTGGGAAGGGTTCAGAGCTGGACCACACCCCTTCTTACTCTCTGGGCTTTCAGGACCCAGGGGCTGTAGGTGTGTGAGAGGGTAGAGTGTGCCCCTCACCTCCTCTGACAGAGGAGGAGAAGAGCCTGGGTTTAGGTATTAGATTTAAAGTAAGTAAAACCGACTATTTTATTATCTGTGACGTTTCCAGGTAGTGAAACAGTCTGCTTGAGATGTTGTTTAGTGATGGGAACAGCCCTTAGAATGAGTAAGATTATTTCACATCCATGCCACCAAATGAGTTGAAACTCCACAATAAACAGATTCCAAGGAGATAAACATTCTTATCCACAACGAAGCATGAAGCTCAGACATGGAGCATCGTGGGAGAGGTCACTTAAGAGTGAGGTTGTAGAGATAATGGGGACCATTTACTCACAGCCATGCGGCTGGTAAGTTGGCAGAATTGGGATTGAACCCAGATCTGATTCTGCCACCTTTTAGCTGCTCAGGTCCCCCAGCTTCATGTCCTAATCACACCCAGCATTTCCTGGTATCTTCTAGCTGTAAGAGAGTAGCTTGGCAAACCCCGGAAATATGAAATCGTTCCAAAGACAATGTGAAAAGGACTCAGGTCTGCAGAGCTTATTAAAAGAATTAATGATTACCAAATCAATTCGTGTATTACCAGTAAATGCCATACCGCATGGAACAGATTTACAAGGTTAATAATGAATTCTCTGTTTGCCTCTGGGATATTCTTAACCCCTTGGTCATGATCTTCCAGGTTTAGGACATCGCTCAGAGATGGTGGGCAACAGAATTTGCCCACTTCCTCCTGCCCATCCCCACCACTCTGAGGCCCATTCACTAATGGTCAACAGTTACCTTCAACCTGTCCCGGTCAATCCAAGGTTGAGAAGAGCTTACCCAGGATGGGGATGGAGAGGATCGCACCATCACCTCCCTGCTCTCATTTGTTGCCTCCAGCACGTGGGGGAGCAAAGATGCAGACCTTGAACTAGTACCAGACATTCTCCCACAATCTCCTTTTGATCTCTGTCCTTCTCTGGTGCCCAATTCAGTAACTGGTGACAGGTGGACCACTTACTTCAGCCTTACATTCACAAAGAGACTTTTGACCTCTTTGCGTATGATGTCATGTATATAAACTCACAGAGGTGCACTGACAACATCAAAGGAAGGTATTCATTCTCCAAATCCAAACCTGCATCCAATCACCAGCCCACCTGCATCGAGTGCACAAGGTGTTGACCTTTAAAATAATATCTTGCAATTATCTTGAACATAGCACATTGTTCAAGCACATTGTTCACTCCCTCTCTGTGTGTAAAGGCATTCATTTGTGGATGTCAAAAGTGGAAAAAAAAAACCACCAAAAGTTTGATCATTTTCTTTTAGAATTTTCCGGAAATGTCTAGGTGTCTCTGAAAGACCCTGCCACATGGGGAAGAAAACTAAGGTAAAACCAAGATAAGTCAGGCTCAGGTATGCTCAGACTCTGCTTTATTGTATTCTCATTTTGTCCATGGGTTCCTCAAGGTCCCTTGGGATTAGGGTGCTTGTAACTATTTTTTCAGCTCCCATTCTCCCATTCTTGGATAGTTCCTGCCTTTGCCCTCATTTGACTAACTGGAGACCTTTCTTGTAATATCTTCCTTGGAGGGGACCCAGGAACCTCTTCTAAATTTGAAACCTAGGATTGCAGAGAGAACTCTTCCCTCTCAGCAACTCCCCAAGCCTCCCTCAAGGTCTGCTCCCTTCTCTGTGGCATTCCTGGCTGCTGTTTAGTTTGGGACTAGCTGGCTAGACGGTTTAGGTCCAGGGCCGGCTGCTTGGTTTTCACCTGGGTACCTTGGCTGGGTCAGGACAGCTGCCACTAGGAGGCGCCATGAACACTGTTCCCAGGGCTGACTGTGGCTGCTGACCTTGAGGGAAGACTAAAGTTGTGTTGCAGCTCCACACCCCTGGTGGGCTTTGCTGCCCCTTCCCTCGAGTCAGCTCTATCTACCCACCCCCTTATCTATCCTCCTGGCCCTGCCTATGCAGGTGGTCAGGCTGACTCAGTTCCGGGTTATCCCCATGCAGAAACATTTACAAGTGAAGTGAGCCAGCATCTGTCTTAGGTCTTTAAATGTCTCACAACTTTGCATTTTGGCAGACTTTCCCGGCAGAGGTGCATCCTTCTGAGACCCTCAGAGCTCACCCGGACCCCTTGCATTCTCAGCTCTGCCCCTGTGGGATGTAGGGCCGGGCCGGGTGACTGCCCTGAGGCGAGAAGCTACCTACAGTTCACCTGCTCCACTTGTTGGGATATGCACCTTTTCTTTTGGCTGGTGACCTCTCACCCCAAATTTAGAGAGCCTTCATGGCCCAGCAGCCCTGATGCTGCACTAGAATTTAGTTTCTCAGTCACCCAGGGATGACGCTGTTCCTCATCCTTCCATTCACCTCTTTAGATGGTGTGGGTGGTCACTGTCCACTGTTATAAGTACAATCTCAGAGCACAGGTCCCGAGCTCAGCAACCATGATTTTCCAGATCTCCTGAGATGAGAGTGTTTGCCAAGGGGGCGGAGCTGACTCATGCTACCTGAGGTTGACAGAGTAAGGGGGCACTGAGAGAGAAGAGAGGTCAGCCAGTGGGAATCCGGGACAGAAGTAGCTAGGAGGAATCAAGGAAGGAGAGAAAAAGTGGATCAATACACACCATTCATGATCAAAAGGGTTCTACAGTCAGAATTTTTTTGGTGGGCATATATCCTTCTGGGCATCTACCCGGAAGTGGAATTGCCGGACCATATGGTAATCCTGTGTTAAATTTTTTGAGGGCCCACCATATTGTTTTCAAGAGGATGCACCATGTTACATTCCAACCAGTGATGTGCAATAGTTTCACTTTCTCCACATCCTTGACAACACTTGTTACTTTCTGTTGTTGGTGTTGCTGTTGTTTTTATTTTTTATTTTACTTTATTAAAATTTTTTTTAATGTTTATTCATTTTTGAGAGACACAGAGAGACAGAGCACAAACAGGGGAGGGGCAGAGAGAGAGGGAGACACAGAATCCGAAGCAGCCTGCAGGCTCTGAGGTTTCAGCACAGAGCCCTATGCGGGGCTGGAACTCATGAACCATGAGATCATGACCTGAGTTGAAGTTGGACGCTTAACCCACTGAGTCACCCAGGCAGTCCAATGTTTTTTTGTTGTTGTTGTTGTTTGAAATAATAGTGATCCTAATGAGTGTGGAGATATCTCATTGTGGTTTTATTTGCACTTCCTTAATGATTAGTGATGGGGAGCATCTTTTCATGTGCTTATTGGCCATCTGGATATCTTTTTGGGGAAATGTCAACTCAAGTCTTCTGCCCATTTAAACATTTGCTGTTGTTGAGTTGTAAGAGTTCTTCACATATCATGGATATTACCTCTTATGAGATATAAGATTAGAATATAAATCTTTTGAGGCCAGAAACCTGTCTGAATCGTCTCTTAATCCCCTCAAGCACTTGATACCTAGTAGATGTTCCATGAATGCTCACAAAAGAATGGTCACAAAATGTGGTAGGTCAGAGGCACGTTGATACTACGTTTGCAAAAGGTATATGAAGAGCATTGTCCAGGTAGGCTCAAGACCCATTAGCTCTGGAGGGAAGCCAGGAATTTAGGGAGGCTCCTGTTCCCAAAAGATTACCTGGAAATGAAGAGGAGAGGGCAGAGAGTGAATCAGTTCTTGGTCTTTATTTAAAAGAAGGCAAGGAGAGGCCCAATCCCCAAACATTCCCTGGAAAAGACATGCTTGAAGGTCAGGCGATGGGAGATCAGGGGGACGGGAAGACACGGAGAGAGAGCAGTCCTAGGGCAGGTGGGCACTCAGCTGAGCATCTGAAAAACCCTTGAGGGTGAAAGGAGGCAGAACACAGTACCCAGGACTGCTGTGCCCAAACACACGTTAAGGGGGCCCCAGAATTTCAGCAGGTAGAAGCTGTGAATAACCAAAGCTCTGACCTCTTAAAGAAACATAACATTTCAAGGGTTTCTCTATATCCTGGGAAAACAGACTAAAGTTCAGGGGAGGGGGTTGCCGCATGGAGATGTAATTGGAGACTTGGGTGTTTTTTGCATGGGGTTGTTGTCTGTGGATAGGAGTGGCTGTGGGTGCCACAGCAGAGGGCCCACGGAAAGAGGTCGGCTCCTCATTGGGCCTGTGGGACACTGAGACTTCAACATCCTGGAGGTGGGCCTGAGGGATGGGATGGGGTGGGCTTGATGTGTTCTGTTTCTGCTTCAGTAGAACACCTTCTCCAGATACGCATTCAGGAACATCCCGGTAGGGTCCAGCTTTTCTCGGATGGCACAGAACTTCGAAAAGGCTGGGTACATTTTCTCAAAGTCCTTCCGGGTACAGTTGTGGGCCTATGGAAGCAACCAGACAGGACTGACCTCATTCCCCGGGGCTGAAATTTCAGTGGGGCCACAAACAGGCAGACTTGTGGCTGTGCACCTGCAAACGTGACCCTCCCATCCCTAGGCACACACAAGCGTGTGTGCACACACATGTACCCACTTACCCACACATGCATGCATGTATGCAAAATGCACGTCCCCATACCTATACATGCATGTGTGTGTCCACACATATGCTTGCACACATAGGCATGCATGCAAGTACACACATGATGTAAAGAGCCGAGCGGGAGAGACGGAGTTCTTGGTAGGTAAAGGAAGGTGTCACAGTGTTAACATTAAACTCTGGATTCACTTTGCCACCCCACAGTGTGACAGTAGAGAGGGCTCTGCCCCCAATTCTATTGCTAATCAGTAAATGAGTACCATCACCTCTGAAGACTCTCAGTTCCCTATCTCTTAAAGGGCCTCACTGACTCCTGCCTTACCCTGCTCACAGGGTTTCTATGAGAATCGAATAAAATGAGAGATTTCTCTGAAAACTGTGAAGGAGATTTCACAGAGTACTATCACTGAGCTGTTGGAACATGAATGTTGGGGGAAGCTAGGCCAGGGTCAGCTTCCTGCCTGTGACTTGCTTAGCGCGCCCTCCCCCCCAATCCCAACTTCTGTGCCTTGGGCAGTCAGAGGAACAGGGAAGAGAGACACCCTCTGGTGGACCCCCAGCTCCCAGCAGCTGCCAGGCCATCAGCCCTGTGAGCTTCTCACTGGCAAATCCTACCTTGGCCCAGTGGGGCCTGCCCCCCACCTTCTTCATGATGGTCTCGTAGGCCAGCCAGTAGTCCAACCGTGGTACATCCTTGCCATAGGGCCTGGTGGGGAGCAGAAGGAGGTGAGGCCCTGTCCCTGCCCTGAGCACCCCACCACGGTTACATGGCAACTTCCCTGTGCCACGCCCAGCACCTGGCATGTGGCATCAAGATCAAGCCGTGGCTCTGCCCACAGGACATGGATAGCAGTGATCCAGCAACTTGATGACTTTCCTCACTGCTTGTCCCCAGAAGGATATCAGAAAGTATTGCATCATCTCATATTTTCTACTTGGCATAAATATATTATACACGCACACATCATTATGGTGTACCATATATATATACCATCTTTTTGACAAAGCCTAGGAATCTTGGAGTCACCTCATTCGATGTAAGGAAAGCATGGCCATATAGAACTTCATTGGTCAGTCCTCACTGCTAAGAAGTCTACGTCCCAAACTTTTTAAAATTCAGATACATGTGATGCATACTCATGGCGACTTTCTCACTTCTGGATTTGCATTCACAGGTAGGGAGAAGATAGACAGAAGGACAGACTGATAAGGTCTGAACCATGCCAAAAGTCTGTCCCTGCGTGAAATAAGCTGCCTTCTGTTCAATGAGTCTTGCAGAAACTCTCTTTTCTGGTTTTTCAGAACTCCTTCCAGAATAGTCCATTCTTTAATGGTCCCGTGGGCATCTTATAAGTCTGAGGGTTTTATATGCAGGAGAAATATACCATAGTAAGCCTCAAGATGGGGGAGAGCTAAGTTTTTCTTTTGCAAAGTCAGAAGAGGCTATTATCAATGAGAGATGGGATAGAAGAGACAGAAGGAAGACATCGTTTACACAGGAAATATTTAAAGAGATGGATGTTTTAAACTATGTGTGTCCTATAGCTTCTTGGCCTTTTGGCTAAGACCAAGTATAAACTATGCATGTCCCTAAGCCTTATCCTAGAGACTGCTACGTATCCCTAGGAAAAAGGTAATGCAGTTGTGAGCATAAGGTGTCTGCACAGCGCCTGGTGGAGCTGGTCAGGATGGGCAATGACCCCTTGAGTCAAGAATGAACCTCTTTCCTGCCTAACTCATAGGAAACACTGTGGTTTTTTTAGGGGGGGAGAGAGGGAGAGAGGCAAACCATGAGAGAATCTTGAACAAACTGAGAACAGTTTGAGAACAAACTGAGGACTGATGGGTGTGGGGGGAGGAGGGGGGAGATGGGCATGGAGGAAGACACTTGTGGGGATGAGCACTGGGTGTTATATGGAAACCAACTTGACAATAAACTATTTGTAAAAAAAATTTTTTTTTAAGTTTATTTACTTATTTTGGGAGAGACAGAGAAAGTGTGTGTTGTGAGCAGGGAAGATACAGAGAGAGAAGGAGAGAGAATCCCAAGCATGTTCCATATTGTCATCGTGGAGCCCAACACAGGGCTAGACCTCACAAACCATGAGATCATGACCTGAGCCGAAATCAAGAGTCAGGTGCTTAGCTGACTGAGCCACCCAGGTGCTCCATTTTCTGCTTAACTTAAACCTAGCTTCAGAATCCTTCTCAACACAGCATTTCAGGCTGTCAGAACCACCCACTAGAGTAGGCACATGAGATAGCAGGCAAGGAAGAGAGACTATTTGCTGCTGCCAGGATCAAATAAGTCTCACTAGAGAGGGCAGCATCTGAACCAGCCTTGAAGGATGGGTAAGGAGGAGGGTCCTTTTACAGCTGAAGGGCTCCTCCCCCAGCCCGCCCACAGCCCCGCCCCTCCCAGCGAGCCGGGCACCTGTACATAATGATGTTCATGTAGCAGCTGTCCCTCTGGAAGCAGGGGCTCAGCAGGATGTCATCCCCCCTGGTGAAGCGCACCTCCACAGGGAAGTGGGCCACCATCTTGGGGTGGGTCTCCAGCACAGCCTTCAGCTCCAGCAGCGCCTCTTTGGTCTTCTCTCTGCATTCATCCCAGGGCAGCAGAACCCAGACCTCAGAGAAGGGCCTCCAGGAGCCACCACACAAGGTTCTGCATGTCTGCTCCCTCCCACCCCCACCAGGGATGGGGATGGGGGCTCCCAGCTCCTAAGGAGGCCCATCTTCAGTGGTTGCTCTCCAAGTCCCTCACGTGGACTGTGAGTGTGCCCACTGGAGAGCTACCTCCTGCTTCTGGGCCAGCCTTGGGCCACTGCCCAGTCAGGGGCTCCTCTTAGGTGCCTGGCTTCGGCTGTCCCCCAACCCCAGACCCTTCCTTTCCAGACAGAGTCAAAGCAGCCTGATTCCAGTACTTACACTTGTTCTAATATTCTCACTGGGAGAGCGGAGCCCCAGACCTTGAACACAGTAACAGAGGCCTCTCCTGAGCACTGGGCACCGCTCCCCCCACCCCCATTCCTGGAGAGAGGCGGAGATGGGACCATTCAGAGAAGAAGCTGCAATGAGTTCTGGGGCTACAGATCTCGCCCAGGTCCTCACGCAGGCTCCCTCCCAAAGCAGAGTCCCAGCCCCTGGCATGCGAGGTGGGCTCTGCCCACCAAGGGACTGAATGCAGGGAACAGTCTTCCAGAGCAGCAAGGAGCTGGGCAGGGAGCCCCACACTCCAAGTTCAAGCCTGCTGTGAGCCACCTCCGGGCTGCTGTCCCTGCAGAGGTGGACCAGCTTGGTACATGGGCCCCAGAAGGGGACTCAGCCTCCGGTTTGCCCCCTTCTCATTATGGGTAGGACCAGCAGCCTGGTGGGCAGCATACATGCCAGGGCTGCACTAAGGACCCTTGAAGGGGGTCCCTTGGACACTGACCCCTCTGCAGCCTGGCCAGAATGGCCTACCTGGGAATGGCCCAGTCCTGGACGTGCTGCTTGAAGCGGCACTCATAGGTGAAGATCTCATGGCTGAGATTGCTGCTCTCCCTCTTCCTGGTGAACAGGAGCCAGAAGAAGAAGCGATTGATCCAGCCCACGAGGCCTGGCAGGAAGGAACTGGAGGGGGCAGGGCAGAGGGGTGATCAGTCATCATAAAACCCAGCATTTATAATTTATCTTTAATGTTTAGTTATTTCTGAGAGAGACATAGAGAGAGAGCAGGGGAGGGGCAGAGAGAGAAGGAGACACAGAATCCAAAGCAGGCTCCAGGCTCTGAGCTGTCAGCACAATCCAGCATTTAATGAGTGCCACCTGTGTGCTTACAAACCATGGGGGAGTTCCGTCCAAACCTCTGCCACTCCCGCTTACCTATAGCTTAGAAACCTTCCTGGGGATAGAAACAGCATTCCAAACAATTCTCCCAACACTAACAGAAGCCACTTCCAGAGAGCCCCTGTGTGCATGCCGCTACCCTTCTAGGGAGGACTAGCTTGTTTTCAGTGTTTGTGGATTTTTCCTCCTCCTCCTCCTCCTCCTCCTCCTCCTCCTCCTCCTCCTTCTTCTTCTTCTTCTTCTTCTTCTTCTTCTTCTTCTTCTTCTTCTTCGTTGTTGCTTGTTTTTAATGCTTGTTTTTGAGAGAAACAGAGAGAGCAAGAGCACACAAGAGCATGGGGGAGGGTCAGAGAGAGGGAGACACAGAATCGGAAGCAGGCTCCAGGCTCTGAGCTGTCAGCACAGAGCCTGACATGAAGCTCGAACCCATGAACTGTGAGATCATGACCTGAGCCACCAATGGAGCCACCCAGGTGCCTCAGAGATTTTTTCCTTCTTAATTGTGGTAAAAAGTTGCATAACCTTAAATTTGCCCTCTTAGCCATTTTTAAGTATAAGGGTTAGCAGTGTTAGGTAGATTCACATTGTTGCAAGAGTGCCCAGAACCTCACAAAGTGAAACTCTGTCCCCAATAAACAAGTCCCCACTCCCCTGCTCTCCCCACCAGCCCCCCAGCAAAACCCCTTCTACCATCTGTCTTTATGAATTTGACTGCTCTGGGGGCCTCACATAAGCAGAGTCCCACAGTTTTTGCCTTTTGTGACTGGCTTAGGTCACTTAGCATATTGTCCTTCAGGTTCATCCATGTTGTAGCCTGGATCAGAATTTCCTTTCTTTTTAAGGCCAACTAAAATGCTGTTATCTGTGTAGACCACATTTGGTTCATGCATTCATCCGTTGGACACTGGGGTTTGCCTCCACCTCTTGGCTATTAAGAATAATGCTGCTATGAACATGAGTGTGTAAGTATCTCTTTAAGACCCTGCTTTCATGGGGTGCGTGGGTGGCTCAGTCAGTTGAGCATGTGACTCTCAATTTCTGCTCAGGTCGCGATCCCAGGGTCAGGTCAAGCCTTATGTCAGGCTCTGCACTGAGTGTGGAGCCAACCTGAATACTCCAAACAACCCAAATGTTGGCTAGTGGCTCTACTTTATGTATGGGCAAACCACAGCTCAGAGAGGCTGAGCAATTTACCCGGAGTCACACAGCAGGGAAGTGAAGATAAGGATCAGAGTCAAGGTCCACTGGATCCTTAGCTCATGCTCTTCCCATGGCCCCAAGCTACCGAGTTTCCTGGGACTCAGAAAGGGTACATGGGTACTTGCTGCAGGGGTGGGGTAGGAGACGGACGCAGTCTGTCTTAAGGCAGATGCTCTCTGGTGTCTCACAGGGCAGCTGGCTGTGATGGGGCTTCCACTGGCCTGCAGGGAATAGGGCTGTTCTAACCAAGGAGCTGAGTTTGCCCTTGGCTCTGGCCCACCCGCCAGGGACCTGTTTCCAACAGATAGCCTGCCTTACTGTCCCGGTCAGTTATGGCCACCTCATCACTCCTACAGTGGGCCACTACTGAACTCCTCTAAAGACAGGCACCAAGCGTTTAATGTGGCATTTCTTACACAATATCTAGGGGCCTCCTCTAGGTGCCAGGCATTGTTTGGGGCGCTGTCCCAAACAGGACAGGCAGGGTCCCCTCCCTTGCAAGGACACAGTAAGTTTTACCGTGAAGCAGCCATTGAACCACCAAGTGCAATCTGTTACTGCCATTCATTACCGCACCTTCAAGCACGCAGCTGAGTGTGCACCCCACAGGGGTGAGCCTGGGTGGATGCGGTTTCCAGAAGCAGCTAAGCCAGAGCCCAGTGGGCTGAACTCAGAGGCTGTGGAGCTCTCACAGAGCATCCACTCAGGCCAGGAGGTGGCAGCTGTGATTTAGAGCCCAATTTATTTGGGTGCTCACTGGGCTCCGGCTCCACAGACACACACACATAAAGCTGCTGAGAGGCTGTGATAGAAGGCAGATTGCGAGTCTGACGGGGCATTTTCCACCCTCACTCCCATCCACAATCTGCCGGGATGCAGTCCCCAGGCCAGCTTACTCAGAGCTCCTTGTCCCTTCCCTGCTCAGATGCAGTGAGTCCTGTCTCGAGTTTCACTCTCCTAAAGACCTTCCAGGCAGTTAGTCACCCTGATGTGGATCCCATCTGGTGCACCTGCAGCTCCCCTAACCTGAGGAGACTCGACGCCAGGTGCCAAAGGTCTCGGCCACGTCCAGGACCAACAAGAACTCCAGCTAGTTCCCCAGGTCCTGTTGTCAGTGCCACCTTTGATGGGCTCTTATGCCCTTTCAGCAGGGATGGATTTCTCACTAAGATACCTTCCCAAAGGTAAAACAATTAACGGCTAAATTTTACTGTATTAACATTAAATACATCTAACACCAACATTTTTTAAAGCCATAAAAGTGAAAGACAACACAAATAGGAGGGTATTGAAGCCCAAAAAGGGAGTGCTCAAAATATATAAATAAAACTCTACAGCACAGTAAGAAAAAAATACCCAACCAATTCTTAAAAAGGACAAAATGCATAAATAGGCACTTCATAGAAGAGAAATCCAAAGGATCAATATACTAAAAAACTGCACAACCTTTCTGGTAGGCATGGAAGTAGGCATTAAAAACCACGGTGAGATACTATCTAATACATGTCCTGTGAAAATGTAAAAGTCTGACAATTCCAATCTCGACCAGCCAGTGGAGCACAGAGACTCTTACATGCACCACAAGGTAACTTGGTGCGGCCACTTGGGAAAACAGTTTGATCTGATACAGCCTGGAGATACTCATGCTCCGTGACCCAGGAGTTCCACTCATGAGGATATACTCAAGACAAAAAACCAAAAAAGCATCAGAAGCAGGGGTTGAGAATCCTCACAGCAATATTGTTTGTAATGGAAAAAAAAAAAGAGAGAGAGAGAGAAAAAGAAAAATTCTGGAAATAACCAGAACATCCATTATCATGAGTATGGATCAACGCATTGCAATAAATGCACATGGTGAAAAATGACTAATTGTAGCTATCTGTATCAACATGGGTAATTATCACTATCGAAGCTGAATTGCCAAATTTATGATATCAGGGTTCATAAAACTAAAGTATAAATAAAAGCAAGGGGCTGATAAGCATAGTTTCAGGGCAGTGATTACTTTCTTGGTTACCCCTTGGAGGCTGTCATCTGGGACTTCACAAAGACTGTTCCAATTGGACTCATGTTGTTTCATTTCTTAAGCTGGTGTGGTGGTAGCCACATGGGTGCTTATTACATTATTTTTGTTTTGTTTTGTTTTTAAGAGAGAGAAAGAGAGTGAGTGGGGAAAAGGGGCAGAGGAGAGGGAGAGGATCTTAAGCAGGCTCCACACTCAGCACAGAGCCCATTAAACTCAGTCCCATGACCCTAGGACCATGACCTGAGTCGATATCAAGCCAGACACTCAACTGACTGAGCCACCCAGGTGCCCCACATTATTATTTATATTAAAAAAAATTTTAATGTTTATTTTTGAGGCAGAAAGAGAGAGACAAATTGTGAGCAGGGGAGGGAGGGAGACATAGAATCCAAAGCAGGCTCCAGGCTCTGAGCTGTCAGCACAGAGTCTGATGCGGGGCTTGAACTCACAAACTGTGAGATCATGACCTAGGCTGAAGTCAGACACTTAACCAACTGAGCATCTCAGGTGCCCCAATTTTTTATATTTTAAATATATGCTTTCTATATTACATTGTATATATAAAATATTTCAAAAAATTTTATATCATGCCATTCCATGTCTTGCCTGGACATAAAGTTACCATTCAAGGACCCATGAAACCTTCCCCATCACTCAGAGTTACATGTCTACTTACCAGCAGACATGGGGCCTGAACATAAGCATAGATTTCAGGCTGGGAAGGAGGTAGAAAACAGGACATGATGAGATTTACATCACCTGGGGGCCAAAGAGTGGGACGCAGGCATTCATATCTTTAAAAAGCCAGGTGATCTGAATGTGTAGGCAGGGTTGAAAAATCACTGCTCTAGACCCTAATTTACATGCATAAAGGCCAGGGTGTTATTTTTTTTGATGGACTGCATCCTCAACAGCATACAGCAGATGCTGGAAAAAGGTACCCTCTCATTCCTACCTGATCCAGAGCAGGAACTCCAATAAATAGAATCCGATGGCATAGTCCCAAAACCAGTTGGCTGAAGAGGAGGGGGGCTGGGAAGCAGAATCTGTGATCAGTTCGGAGCCAGAGCTCAGCTGCTTTCTGACCTATTTATCATAGTGTCCCCTTACAGGGAGATGTGTCCAAGAGTGACTGCATGTGTGTGTAGAGGGGACAACCCACCTACCAGGACAATTGAAAGCCTCACTTCTTGGTGACACAGCCAATTTGCATACCCCACCCCTTTCGTTTCATGTATATGTATGTATTTATGCATGTATTTATTTTGCACAAGATGAAGATGTGCATTTGTCCCTCCTCTTCTGAGTCCATGAGGCAGGTGTCCAGCGATCACCATTTACAAACCCCTTGCCAGCCCATAACACACATTATGTGTCACCATTTTTGCCTGATGTGTCCCATCAACATTCATCCTAGGTGATGGCTTTGTGTTCTTCTGCTGAGAAGCACCCCATTTGCTAAGGACACGGAGGAGAGACAAAACTATTGGTTTCTTCACCTGTCCAGTTGGGGGTGGGAAAGACAAGGGCATTTGAGGGAAGGTGGAGGCGTATTAGATGGTCCAAGGTATAGCCCAGCTGCCTGATACTCTATCTTATCCTATCCTGTCCTCCCCACACCTCTGCTCCCCTCTCCCACATCTAGGCTGTCGCCTGACCTCACTCCCACACATCCCTACCTATGGTCACATTAGGCCCTTACTGGGCCAACTTTCCTTCCTCCTTTCACCCTCCTGCCTCTCCTGCTTCTGTCCTCACACTCCGTGATGCCCACCCTTGCTTTCCCTCTCACACCTCACTGACCATCGGGACAATGACAAACATCAGCCACCCTGGGGACTGCAGGCCGTGTGTGAGGACAGGAATGATGCTGTTGCTACCTTGTTGGTGTGGTCCTGGTAGATGACGCTGACGTTCTCACTGTGTGGGAACCAGAGGAAGCGGAAGTATTCAGATTTCTTCAGGTGGCTGTCCAGGTTGTCAAGAACCTGACCTCGGCAGAAGGAAAAAAGAAAGACTGTGTTGGTCACAGGCTGATGGTGGGGAATGTAATGGATGTCAGGGCCCGGGGGTGCTTCTGTTTCTCCCCATCAAGAGAAAATGCTTAAAATTGTCCTAATGTTGTCAAATGACATGGAATGTGACTTGTAATATGCTGGACATTAAAGTGGTACTTTTGCATGTTGATTTTCCCAAGCAGCTTAGAGGATAGAAATGATATCTTATCTGTCCTGGCTAAGTCCTAACTGTATGAGTTCGGGCAAGGTACCTAACATCTCTGTCCCTCACATTCCTCATCTATAAAAGGGGACTAATAAGAGTACCCATGTCAGGATTGGTATGAAGATGAAATGCACTAATGACTAGAAAGTGCTTACAATGTTGTCATGAACATGGTAGGCACTGTATAGGCATAAGCTGCTGCTGCTGCTAATATTACCCTTACATTGCCATGCCCTGTCATCGTCATCGTCCTTTATCTCCATACTGCTTAATACATCACAGGTCCTTAATAAAATGAACTGGAGAATCTTGCTCTAATATGGCCTATTATTGCACTCCTAGAGATGAGATCACAATGCAAACCATGTCTCCCTAAAACCCATCAAGCAGATACAGGGCAATTTCTGAGCCAAAGGGTAGATAGATTTGGTATTTGACAGGAAGCTGGGGGTTGAGGAAAAGCACCACTGGTCTTGGGGTAAGTTTTGGGTTCGAGTCTGGTCTGCAGCTTACCAAGCTGCATGACCTTGGAGGGGCCAAGCTGAGCGCCCTCAGCTTTGGTTTTCCCATCAGTAACATGTGGCACTGGTGCAGTGAAATGAGATAATCTACATCAAAGCTCCTAATAGAGTGACTGCCATGTGGCACATGCCCAAAGAGCAGTTTGGGTTCTGGATTTGATCAATGCACACACGCATCTAGTGTTCCAGTCCTATTCCCCCACAAAGTCCCTAGCTGTGACTTCCAGAAGCCTTTGAGGCCTCTGGGGAGCATCTCTCCATCTGTAGAATGAAGACAGTAGTACTTCTTCCTTCCTTCTAGGGCTGTTGTGAGGAACAGGGAAAATCATAGATTTGAAAGCACTGTAAAATCAACATGTGAGTGAGGGAGCACAGAGTGCCAGGAAAGACAGAAGAAAAACAGAACAAAACAAAACACACACATAACTTACTGACCAAATGCACTGTGGGGATTTGGGGACCCAGCATAGAAAAATGGCTGGATCTAATCACGGGTCAATACAGTGTCCAAGGAGGTTGGTAAGCTCAAGGGAGGATGGCCATTTCCACATCTGACCAGGAAGGAAGATGAAGCCAAGATGAAGTACTGAGATGAGCCCATCTAGAACTTAAGGTTGGGGTGTCTGAGAGCAGTAGAACTTGGGATTCTGGGTCTCTGTCATGACTGTCAGAGAGGCCCCCTGACTCGCTTGCCAGGGCATGGTGCAGCTGGGGATACAGGGATGGGTGTGTGATTGTTGCATCCCAGTGATCTGCCTGTCATCCTAACCCTCCCCCGCCCCACCCCAGCTCCAGTCTGTCAGTCGCCCTGTTGTATTTCTGCAAATGTCTTCCTTCACAGTCTTCTCCGGTGACCCACTGCTACTGTTGTGAGGTAGTCCACGCCCTTCTTACCTGTCACCCATACTCCTGCGTTAGCCTCATAATATGGCCTGTTTCTCATCTCTCCAGACAACATCTATAGAGAACATCCAAAACCCAGCTCAGAGATCTTCAGAAGCTCTCTATTTCCTACAGAATAAAGCTCACACAGCTTAGGCAGCATCCAGGACCTCCGTCCACAAACACTGTCCGATAAAACAGCCACTGGCCATAAGTGGCTGTTGAGCACCTGAAAGGTGTTTTATCCAAATTGAGATGGTAACTTAAATGCTCCTCATGAAGCCATCTCCTCACCTTCTAGTGGCTTCTACTTCTATTGCATCCATCCCAGAATTATACTGCAGCTCTTTTAGCATCCATCTGTCTCTGAAATTGGTCAACAGTCTCTTATAGGTCAGGGACTATCTCATCCATCTTTGGTCCCCCCTGCTAGTGCAGAGATCAGCAAAATTTTTCTGTAAAGAGCCAGACATAAATATTTTAGGCTTTTGAGGCCATATAGTCTTTGTTGCAACTCTTTAACTTGCCATGGTAGCGTGAAAGCAGCCATAGACAATGCATTAACAATGAGTGTGGCTATGTGCTAATAAAACTTTATTTACAAAAACAGGCAGTGAGCCAGAATTTGCCTGCAGGCTGTAGTTTCCCAGCCCCTCATCTTAGAGCTGCTGGCACAATGCCTTGTACAGAGAATGCTGGAGTACACTATCATTCCTTATTTGAAGAGAAAAGCCTTTCCTGCTGTGCTGGAGTCTGAAGAAAAGTTCAGGAAGAAACTCCTGTCACTATCACTTCCATCCTGAGAGGGAGATGGACACATGGTCCACAGGACTCTCGTGTGGGAAGCCTCTGGGCAGAGCTGACTTTCCCCTGGGAGAGCCAGAAATACAGCCTGGTGACTTGGCCTGGAGGATGGGGCTGGGACACTGGAAAGGAGAAACCACCCCCACCCCACCCCCATCTTCTCACATTTGGCATCCTGGGCCATCCCACTCTATTGCCCAGAATCCAGCAGAAAATGTAATGGCGCCCTTCTCAGCTCTGGTGCCTGAGAGGTTTATGTCCGGCTTTCTACCTAGAATGGAGTGACAAGAGTCAATGCCCCCATTACATTTTGTGCCTCTGTCCTGACACCATTCTTTTCCACCCCACATTAGAGAAACAAGACATATCTTCTCTCACCACACACACCAAATTATAACCCTCTACAGGCATGAACTATGCATGATTGAGCTCTGGACTCTCCATGACCCCTAACTTAGCACCAAGTTGGTTGCTGAGTGGTGGAACAACCCTAGGCCCCACCCCACTGTGGACTAAACTCATTCCTTCAGCACCCACAAGCCATCCTAACTGGAGGAGGTTAGTCCCTAGATCATGGAGTTCCTTGATCTGACCTGTGTTTCCTGAAAGTACCATCACAGACACTTGGGTTCCAAAGAAACCTCTTCCTTGACACGTTATTGGCAGGAAGGGTTCCAGCAGGTCCAGTCCCCTGGATTTAGTCCCTGTGGCACTGCTGAGTTGGCTTTTGGGAACTGGCTTCCAGTCTCACAGCTGAGGATTAGTGAGCATCAGCAGATGGCCACGCCAGACAGTGGCCGGCATCTGGAAGCTGCTGACAAGGACGGTGGCACACTGGGACCAACACTGCATCCTGAGGCGCTGTAAGAGGGGCGAGGCAGCAGCCAGCTGCACTCATCACATCTCATTATGTTTTGGGTGGCATAAAGGGCAAGAGGTTGACAGTAAGTTCTAAAATCTTCACACCTTCTAACTGGTTGTGATTCCTTACCAGCCAAACTGCAAGAGTCAGAAATCCTGAGACTTCATCAGAAAAGCTGTGAGGGCTCCCTCTTTCTAGGCACCACAAAACTGGACAAGCCATCTTTCCTCAAGCCACTTCCCTGCATCTAGAAACACTGATTCCAACTCTCCTAGGGTCCAGGAATGACCTGTTCCCCTGATTTGGCTTTGAACAGCCTTCAGAATTCGTGTTGTGATGTATTTAAGAGAATCAGTAATGGGACACACAGACTTGTATCTGAGACAGACCACCACACAGCACAGGTGGGAGGAGTTGGTGAAAATGACAGTAATACTATGGGGCCAGTCACGCTCTTATCCTCACCACACATGTGAGGAATCCAAGCTCAGAGAAGTGAGGAGACTTGTCCAAACTCATAGAAGGTCAGTGAAGAAACCGGGCTTCAAACGTGGTGGTCTGACTTGGAGATGTGTTCCAACTTCTACACTGCACCCCTTGTGATGGGTCTGGGTTCTATTCCAAAGTTCAGGGCTGGAAGACCCATGATAGGGATTTCATAAACACACACTGGGTGGAAGGCAGGGAATCGGAAAGGAAGGAGGAGAAAAGGAAAGGGAAGAAATATAAGGGAAGGAAAAAATGGTGGAGCAGCTAGCTCTTCACACCTAACTTTATGTGCAGGACAATTGTCCTCCTTTGTCCTGGCTTCCTATCTCTCACTCCTCAAATGCTCCTCCTGGAGCCCAGGATCAGCCGACCTGGAGGGCTTGGCCATCAGGAAAAAGTCCATGCCCAGAGAAGACATGATGCTGGGGAGCTGTGTACAGCCCTGAGATGGAGGCACACACTCAGGGCAGCATGGTTTGCAACCCCTGTGGACGTGAGACAAATGCGTATGAACCTAAATGGTAAGAAACCAGGAGCAGGTACCGATGCATGAGCAGGAGGGTGCACTGTCTTCCTAATGGTTGTCAAAAACCTCCTAAAGGTTACACCCAATTATTATTCCTTTTAGATTTAATGATGAGTTTCTGATCCTTCTTCCTCCTCCATGGGCTTATTTGCTTTGAGAGGAGCGAGGCAGCAAGGCCCATGTTGTAGATTTCCACATCCTATTAGCTTTTCCTTCTAAGTATTCACAGCCTCTTGAAGGTGCCCTTTAAAGGCTACTTTGAGTGGAAAGAGCAAAAGCAAATGGAATATGAGGTCATTCATTGCCCACACCCTTTGGAATAAATCACAGGGCTGCAAATGCCACCGACATTCTGTCCTTGTTTACGGCCTGCAGCTGTGGCGAAGGCTGTCACGAGGCATGATGGAAGCTGATGATGAGCTTCTCAGAGATGCAGCCTGGCTCTACAGCACAAGGGGTGCCACTTCATGGAAATGGAGGGATCCACAGAGCGCTTGCTGACTCACAGGGTCCTGCTCCATGAGCCCTCTGGGAGTGAGCTGGGGTCTCTGTTGGGAACAGTGGGGGTATTCTCACAGGGCTCATGCCTCTCCTCTGGAGTTGTGCCCAACCACTTCACCAGATGCTCCAAAGGAGAGAAACCAGAGATACCAGAGGTGACCCTCTGCCTCCAGGATGTGGCGAGGAGGTGGGGCTGTGTCCAAGCCCTGTACTCACTCACCAAATGTCAGAGCTTAAAAAGGCCTCAGGAAATATCTACTTTGACTCTACTTTGAAAAAAGAAAGAAAATGGGGTCCCCCAAATGTGAAGGATTTGCTCAAGCTCAGACAGGATAGCAGCACAGCCAGCCCCCGGGGGCCCTGACTCCCTTCCTGGAGCCTTTTCATTACATCTTGTTGAGTGTTTATTGCTGTGTAATTGTGTGTGAGTATCTACTTTGTCTTTTAGGGGAGGATATTGCAATTGCTATTTCTCATGTGTCATCACAGCCTTTCAAAATCAAAGAAGTTGGGGGGCGCCTGGGTGGCTTAGTCAGTTGAGCATCCAACTCTTGATTTTGGCTCAGATCATGATCTCATGGTTCATGGGATGGAGCCCTGAGTCAGACTCTGCATTGCAGAGCCTTGTTGGGATTTTCTCCCTCCCTCTCTCTATGCCCCTCCCATGCTCCCTCTCTCTCTCCCTCTCAAAATAAATAAATAAACATTAAAGAAAAAAAGGAGATGGAAGCTTTGAGAAGAAGGTAGCACATTGCCTAGAGTCACTTGGAATTTTCAAGGATGTCATGTCCAGTTAGAAGTCTCCATGTTGAGATAAGTTGGAGGCAATAAAACCTCTTGAGCTCTAGACAGACACAGGGGCCAGGCAGAGTGTGTGTCTGCACGCACATGGCTGTGTGAGTGTGTCCAGGAGGAGGATGGCCTGAGATATGCCTCCACTAGAACCAGGATTTGGCTATAACCAATCTTACTCAATCTCAGCCAGGTCAAAGGAAGAGCAGAAAGTGGACAGACCAGGTCTTAGGAGACCATTCATTGACTCAGCCACAAAGCCTAGTAGGAACCTGGGGCCCAAAGAGGCAATCTTTATCGCTGGGTCAAAACCTTGACAAGTTCTGACCTACATGAGAGGCAGGAAAATAGGTTCAATAATAAAAGCACATTACAGCCCCTTACTGCTTGAAAGTGGTCTGTGCTGCCCATCTCCCTTCCTCATTGGTGATGCTCATCTGTCCCTTGAGCTGCCCCACGCTCCACTGAACCATCTTCACCAAGTTCAGCTACAGCCTTCTGATGACCAGACCTGTCAACACTCCAATCCCCCATGGCATTGAACCCTGTTGACTGCTCCATCATGGACACCCAGCATCTCTGGCCTCTGTAGCCCTCTCTAACCCATCTTCCTCAGTCTCCTTCTCGGCACCCTTTCCATCCTCTCATCCACTCCCTTTTCACCTAAGCCCACTCTCTCTGGGTAGTCTTGCCTACACTGTGACCAATCACTTAGGGGACTGACGACCCTTACTTTGGGCTGAATTGTACCCATCCCACATTCACATATTGAAGTTCTAACCCCCAGGACTTCAGAATGTGACTATATTTGGAAACAAGAAATTAAGGTTAAATGAGGTCATTGGGTGAGTCCTAATCCAATAAGATGAGTGTCCTTATAAGAAGAGATTGGGACACAGAAATGCACAGACAGGAGATCATGTGAAGACATGGCAAGAAGAGAGCCATCCATAATCCAAGGAGAGAGTCCCCACAAGGAACCAAACCTGTAGACCTCTTGATCTAGTCTGTGTTATTTGTTACTGCAGCCCTAGCAAACAAATACAACCCCTCAATCTGTTATCTCCAGCCTCTGCCTCCTGCCTGAGTTCCAAACCTGCAAAGCCAGCTGCCCTCCAACACCTCCACCTGAGGCACCTCAAACTCAAGTTCCCAAACCAAACTTGTAATCTTGTTCCCCAAACCTGCTGTGCCTCCTGGATTCTCCACCTTGGTGGTAGTCACACTATTTCTGCCTCCTGCCTCCCACTCCACCACTTCACACTCAACTGCTAGTCTTTTGGTTCCTCATCTTAAACATTGCTTGAGGGGCACCTTGGTGGATCAGTCAGTTAAGCATCCGACTCTTGATTTTGGCCCAGGTCATGATCTCACAGTTGGCGGGATTGATCCCTGCGTCGGGCTCAGTACTAACAGTGTGGAGCCTGCTTGATATTCTCTCTCTCTCCCTCTCTCTCTGTGACCCCCCCCCCCACACTTTCTCTCTCTCAAAATAAATACATAAATTTTAAATATTGCTTGAATTTGTGCCCTAAAATAGTGGACTTGGCTTTGTATTTCAGTCCCTTGGGAACCTCTCTAGGCTATGCCTACTCTACCTCATTCTCTTCCAAATCTCCCTCACAGTACTAACTCTGGTTAAACCTCTCTCACCAGTCTCCCTTTGGACTTGATGGTTGTTATGAACTATTTCTTTAGCTCCTGACCTGGCCATCATTACTGGCTAATGCCTTCAGTTTCAAGCCCTGGAGCAGGCTGCCTAGTCTGTCAGTCCTGGAGACTCAGTTCCAAGACTACAGTGCCTTCATTAGCCATGTCAGTGTATATGGTCAACCTCAGAGTGGGGACCAAGATGGTCTCTCTTTGTAACCTCCCCCTGCATGCATTTCCATAACTCTCTGTCTGTTAAAGATGCTTTAGCTGAGGAAGGCTGGAATTCTTGGCTCAGAAGCAGCAAGGAGGGGATAAAGTGGAGGATCTGTTACCTCTTCTCAGCCAGTCTAGGGGCAAAAGAACCTTGAGGGGTACAAAGGATAGATGGTGGCAGATGCCAAGCGAGGAAGAAGCAGAGTCCCAGAGTCTGCTGAGGAGAAGAAAGGGGTACCGGGCTGCCCAGCTGAAGCCTGAGAAGAATGCCTGAGTTGTATCTCAGTGCGGGTCCTTGCCACATCCTGCTATAGGACCAGGATGGAGTGGTCGCCCCACCAAAAAGTACAGAGGGGAGAGGCCAAGAATACGAGAGTGTGGTGGGTGCTCAGAATGTTATTTCATGGCCTTAGGAGTTAGCCCTAGAGTCATAGGAGTCTCAAATGCTGACCCCACAGCAGGCCTCAATCAACATGCCCAGCACTGAGCAGAATGTAGAACACTTTCTGAACCCTACATGGAGTGAACAATGAGTCTAGACCCACCCTTTAGCACTGGTCTGGGAGATTGTAGCTGGTTGAAGCAGGCCAAGGTGGCCCCAAAGAGCTCAGAGTCTGGGCTGGTTCCAGGCAGAGTCATGTGGGCCAGCCAGACCCTTGTGGGACTCCCTGGCTTAGCCACACCTTGTCCCTGCCACACAACTCTATGAAGTGTCCTTGTCCTGAACTAGCCCTGCTTTCTCAGGCCAAGGCTCCAGGCAGTTCACTTGCCAGTTTTGTCCCATTAGGCTAAGTATTGGTACTCCAGGTGTCTGTGCTCTACCCCTTAGAGCAGTGGAAGCACTTTCTCACCAACCGGGAGTTCTGGGGATAAATTTCCACTAAACACCATGCCTCTGAGTAGGGGGCCTTCTGGATTTAAGGCCTTTGCCTGGTCTTCATGCATTAGACATTTTGGTTCTAGAGAGCAATGTTTCTCTTTCATCATTGGCTAGGTGCCATGGGGGGAATATTCTAATACTGAATTAGATACTTTACATGTGTTATCTGATTTAATCCTCAGATTCAATACTTTAAGGTAGTTATTTTTAACTCCCTTTTTGGATGAAGAAACTAGGGTTTAACAAGGTTAAATGACTGCCTCAAGGTCACAGCTTAGAAGTGGCAGAGCCAGTGCTCAACGCCAGGTCAATCTGATCACAAATCCCACCTTAACCATGGAGTGCTTACATCACTGACTCTTCCATCTGTGCAAAGGGTCTACTCATATCGAATGATAAGGTGATCATGGAGGAACTCAAAGACCAAGGAACTTAGGCCTGTAGATTTGAGTCCCTTAGTGATTACCAGGCATAGATCCTGCCTGCAGGCATTTCAGGACTGATGCATGCTACTCATTCATCCATGCATCCATCTATGCATCCATCCATACATGCATCCGTCCATCCATGCATCCATCTGTCCATCCATCCATCCATCCATCTATCCATCCATCCATCATCCATGCATTCATCCATCCATACATCTGTCCATCCACTCATATCCCTCCATCCATCCAATCCAGTCAGCCAGTCATTCTATCCAGCCATCCAGCTAGCCAAACAAGCATGCTTTTCATGCATTCACAAAACACTGCTTTCAGTCAGAAGCCAAAATTTCTGCCCTCCATTATCTAGACTCACATCCCCTAAATGCAACCTTAGGCACCGAGCCAGACTGAAAGTTAGCCCACCCACTTTGCTGTACAGAAGCTATTATCAAGGGAATCCTGGGCACATTCCATGGCTCAGTGCATTTGAGAGTTAATGCCTTCCCAGGAGCAGTCAGCTCATGCCAGCACCCTATCTCTTGCGGCAATTCTCTACCTAGCCTTCTTTCTTCACCATACTTCTGCCATCCCCTTGCAATTCCTCTGAGCTTCACAGACCTGCTCAGAAAGGGCTCTGGCTACAGTATCCATGGGCTGAGGAAGAGCTGGCAAGGTCAGCCAGCTCCCCCAACAGGGGGTCATCAGTGGCACATGGCCCACCTGTCAGCATCCTCCACTTATTTCCTGAGGTTAAGCGGTGGCAAACAAGAAACCAGTACCTCATCCAGGGTTGAGGGGAAAGTGATCTCCTGCAAGTGGAACTGAGGAACACACTGCAGGGTGACGGTGAGGATGACTCCCAGGCAGCCCAGGTGTACCCGCGCAGCCTGGAACACTTCTGCGTTGCTGGACTCGGAGCACTCAAGAATGGTGCCATCGGCTGTCAGCAGGGTCAGCGCCACAACCTGGCAGGGGGAGAAGAGACATTTCAGAACCCGGGTGGGTATTTCCTGTAGACTTAGGGTGAGCCTCTTCCTTCCCTCTTTGTGCTTGGAAGTGAGGCCAGGGATCACTTATTCCCCAAAGATCAATGCCACCTGGCCACAGAGGACTGGGGAAAGGAAGGCTAGGTCTGGGCAGCTCAACCCTCGGGAGGGCAGGGGGCATCCGTTACATGAGGGTCCATGGGAACTCCGACCGCTGCCTTGCCTGTTCACTGTGCGGATACAGCAAGGCTCTCCTCTGTCCAGAGGATGTCCAAGATGAGACAGGGCCCCAAAGAGCAGTGAGGTGCTGGTTAAAGGTGCCTTGCAGGGCACCTGGGTGGCTCAGTCGGTTAAGTGCCCGACTCTTGGTTTCAGCTCAGGTCATGATCTCACAGTTCGTGAGTTTGATCCCCACTTTGGGCTCTGTGCTGACAGTACAGAGCCTGCTTAGGATTCTCTGTCTCTCTCTGCCCCTCCCCTGCTAGCTCACTCATTCTCTCTCTCTTTCTCTCTCTCAAAATAAATCAATAAACATTTAAAAAATACAACTTAGGAATCATTTAAAAAAAAAAAAGGTGCCTTGTGAAGGCAGAGGGAGGACATGTGTGTGCATCTGGGCTAGGACTGTCCCCGCTGTCCCCCACAGCCCAGGAGCCAGGGGCCCCTGCAGCGTCTCTCAGCCTGTTACTTCTCTTGGGCACCATCTCAGCCAAGCTGAGAGCCCATCCTCTCTTTCAGGGACCCACTCACCTCGGGAATTAGAGTCTCCTGCTTGGCTACACCCAATCAGAAACCATGGTTTCTGCAAAGGGTGGGGCGTTCAGCAAGAAACAGGTGATTAACTCCAGTCTCTCTCTCTCTCTCTCTCTCTGTCTCTGTCTCTCTCTCCCTCTCCCATTTCCAGAGGAACCCTCTTTCATTGCTGTTTAAGTACTTCTCCATACTCTGCTACCCACTAATTTGGATGGAAATTGCTTTTGACATGTGTAGTTGGCGGCTCGGTGCTTGGGGTGAGAGAATAGAGAAAGCTGAACCAATTCTAATTAGCAGAGACCAGGGCCATAGGCAAGAGATTGGCAGAAATGGGGCGTGATGGCCATCTGTAGGCGTGAGGCCGTCAGAATGATTTCTATAAAAACCAGATGTTGTCTACGACCCAGGGCTGTAAATGAGCACTGGCCAGTGAAACTGCTCAGCAGGGTCCAGCAGCAAATAAAGGTGGGCACCGCTTTACTAGCTGTGTGACCCTGGGCGTGTTATTCAACCTCTCTGTTTCCTCACTTGTAAAATGAGGGCAAGAACTATCTCAGAGAGAGTGTGTGAAGTTTCCAGCTGAGTGTCTGGTGCACAGTGGACATTAAAGATGTCAATCCCCTACTCCCACCCTACCCCCACCCCCGCAGCTCCCTGTCATCGGCAAAATTCATAAAATTAAACAGCAGGGTTCTCCCACTGCTTTCCTGGGGCTGGTTCGGGTCAGCTGAGCTCCTTAAGAGAAGGGACCAGTAAATCTCATGTGCATTTTGATTTGTGGCCACTCGGATTTATTCCATACTCTGCTGAACATTTTTTAGACATTGCCATCAGCCCTGGATAGCAGACCACGACCGTGGCCTGATCTGGGGTCAGGGGCTGGCTATTGTGCTGTCACCCCCAGGTGCCACTGAGCCCACCTGGGCATGGAACCCAGCTTTGGAGGGGGAAGTCGTGGCATGTCCACGGAGGGCTCCAAGTACCTGGGAACCAGGTCCCACAAAACTCAGCATGCTTTGCTGCAGCAGCTCTTAACCGGTGGGAGGAGTGGGGCATGATTACCACTGGGTTCCCTGTGCTTCCCCTTCCCTGGCTCACACCCTTCCCTCAGGATGCCCCCTTCCTGCCTGGGGATGCTCTGGGGCTCTTGTGATAGAAAGACAGAGTGGAGAAGGAAAAGAGCAACCGGTGCCAGTGCACAATACTGACGACAAAGCAAAGTGAAGTTTTAAGGAAAAAGCATGAACTAGGTCTCCCTCATGGTGTTCGAGAAAACCAATACAACGCTAAGTGAATCTCTGAGAAATTGCTTTGGGCTGTTTTCTTTGCTCTCAGAGCTGCTCCAAGACTGGAGCACAGGGGACCCTGCTCTCAGAAGAAGTCACATTTAGACAGTGCTTGCTGGGGTGTGTGTCTACCTCGGCATGTTGCACAGGAGAGAGCCATACACCTGGGTAGCTGACTTAAGCGACCTGTGTGGTCCAGCCCCCAGCAATGCTGAAAGTTCTTTTCTAGCCCTGAGTGTGAGCTCCAGAATATAGTGTGTCCTATATGCAAAACCTATCTCTAACATTTATGGAGCATTAACTGCGTACCCTTTGCTAAGCACCCCAGATGCATTGCTGTTGCGACCATCCCCATTTTCCAGGTGAGAAAACTGAGGCAGCCCAAGACAGAGACTTGCCAGGTCATACAGACAATAGTGGTAGAGCTGGGATGCAAAACCCAAGCCCCAGTGTTTAGCTGTAATGCTCCAGCAGCCACAGGCCCTGTGGCCCACAGGCCAGATGAGCCTTTGCAAGTGAAAACACATGGCGAGCTACCCGGGCCGCCTGGATATGGGGGCTCTTTCACCCCTGACGGAGTGCAACCAGCTTCCACATGCACATGCCAGCACCCTGCCTCACAGTACCCAGCTGGGCCTGTTAGGAAGCCCCTCTAAATACGGAAAGCCCTCCAAATGGCGGCTCCTGACACAGAAGTCAAGAGCTGTCCTTGGCTTGGCCATGTATTTCCCTTATGCTGTCTCATATCCTTCTCCTGGGTTGAGGATTATTCTCTCCAAATTACACATGAAAACAGGGATGTCCAGAGGAATAAAGAGCTTGCCTCCCTGAACACACCTCATACATGCTAGAGGTGAGGTTTGAACCCAGATCTGAGTCCAAAATCTGTGTTCATAACCAGTTCCCCAAACCAGACTCTTGCATGGATTAAGAAATGCTTTTCAGTGAAGGTCAGGTGCAGATCCAGGACCACATGTGCCAGACTCCACCCCAGGTAGCCTCGGCTCCTGTCCCAGCCCCTCCCCACTTGCTAACCTAGAAAGGCCCCTTGCCCTGTCTGGCTCCTGGCTCAGAGCTTTCAGTGAGGATGGAACCTCTTGCCCTGCTTGCCCTTTTCCACAGGGTGGCCAGGAGGCTCCTGAGAGGCAAGGGTGCCTCAGCATGCTTCACCACTTGTGTCTGTTGGGAGTGAATGAGGTTTAGAAGCAATAATGGGGCTGGAGGGCTCCTGCCAAGTCTCTGTCAGAGGGGGAACATTGGGTGGCTTTGAGGCCCTATAAGGAGCAGAGCCAACCCTGCCCATGGAGACCCTGATTTCCCAGGAGCTCTGGTGAAGAGGCTCCATCCCATCCCTGACCCCTCTCCCCCACCCCCCAGTCAGTGGGGCGGAGAAGCAGGCAGACTCACCTGGGTGGCTAGGATGCCATGTTTGATCCCTGTGTTGTGTGTTCCGGACCCAATGACGCCCCCTGCAGTCACATCTGACACAGCTCCCAGGCTGGGGTCAACAGGAGAGGCAAAAGGGACACAAGGGACCAGTCAGGCTTCCTTGGGACAATCCCTACCCCCTCCACTGGGTTGCAGCACTAGGCTCCTCAGAGCAGAAGAATTGATTCATCTCTTGCCTGGGTTCTGGCCCTGAATGTATCATGACTTAGCTTGTCTGACTGGTTGGCCCTTCTCTTCTCTGAGCCTCAGTTTCCTCATCACAGTGGCCTGTCAGAGAAGCTGCTAGGGGCATGACTCAGCCCCGAGGTTTCCACAGCGTAGAACATCCCCTTCCTCTGTCCCCCATCTGCCAACAAGATCTTCGCTAACCAGCGGCCCGAACGCACCTGCTAACACCTCTCTAGACCCAGCCTATCAGGGCCTGCTGAGTCCCTGAGGGAGTGGCCTGATTCAAACAGCTCCCACAGCTGTCCCAGGAAGGTGTGTGGAGACAGGAGCTTCCCTGAGCAGTCAGGAAGGGGGGAGGGAAAGTGTGTCACCTCCAGGCTCAGAAACTGTCAGTGGTGGGGGTGGGGGGGCCCTGGGTGGCCTCAGTTAGTTAAAGCATCTGAATCTTGATTTCAGCTCAGATCATGAGTTCGAGCCCCGCGTCAGGCTCTGTGCTGACAGTATGGAGCCTGCTTGGGATTTGGTCTCCCTCTCTCTCTGTTCCTCCCCTGCTCACTTTCTATCTCCCTCTCTCAACAATAAATAAATAAACATTTAAAAAAAAACAAAAGAAACTGTCAGGGGCTCCTCGGGGCCCCTAGGATAAGCCCACATCTCTCAGCCCAGAGTTCTGGGCCTTTAAAGGAATAAGAACAGAACTGTGTGTGCATGAGAAGATCAGGGGCTCCAAGGGGAGCAGGATGGCTCTGGAGGCGTGTGATTTGGGGGCCGGAATTAGAAAGAGGTGCCCAAATCTCAAGGTCAAGGAAAAAGAGCGGCTCAAGAGTTCAAAACTCTTCCTTCTCAGGAATGTTCCCTGAGACATCCCAGCCCCAGCTTAAAGGAGAAGGCAACTGATGCTCACCAAGGGCCCCCGGGGTGCCCAGGTGGTGGGCGCGTTGGATGAAGCACAATAACTTCACAGTAGCCCAGCCCCCTCAGTTTACACCGCAGAGCTGGGTGTGCCCACCCTCTCACAGACACAAAATGGGAGGGTGGGGATTTGGCACGCCCTGGCTGTCAGCACAGACTGACAGCCTCTGAGGCAGGCAGGGCCCTGGCCCCCAAAAGTGTTGGGGGACACCAGCCGCTAATGATTGGAAAGTCCAGCCTCAGACCTTCCCGTGGAGGTGATGAGACCTCCGGGCTGTCCTGGAAGAACGGGAAGAGGACAAAAAAACCCCAAAGCCTTTCCAGCTCCCCGTACCCCTGCCACACCTCCCCTGGGTGCCGGTCTTGTTTCTTTGTCCACATTAGTTGTGTTACATCTGAAAATTCCAGAATGTGAAAAGAGGATCATAGAATCCTGCCCCAGTGAAATCCTCCAACGCGCGGGAAGGTGTCACTCGAAGATGTTCATCACAGTGTTATGTACTGTGGTGAAAACCAGAACGGCGATGTGTCTTCTCTTCTCCATGAGCTTTGCCGGACAAAAAAGCAATTCAGAAACAGGCTTGTGACCCCCATGTGAAAAGAAATAAACTGGATAAAAGTGAGGCCCTCAAGGAGAAGGGTCAAGGAAGGAAGGCTTAGACTCTGGCCTCTGAGAGGCTGGAAATAACAAGCCAAGGGGAAAGGTTGCCTCCAGGGCCTGTTGAATGAGGCACTGACAGAGCCCAGTGAACAAGAACTGACATTTAGTGAGCACCTGATGTGGGTCATCTTTCACTCATCCAGTCCTCTGAGCACCCTGTTTTAAGACCCATTTTCTAGATGAGAACACTGAGGCCCAGATGGGTCAAAGAACTTGACTGACAGCTAATGGAGGAAGAAGCAAGATTTATACCCAGGCTACTTGCTTCTAGACCTGGGGTCTACACCATGCTGCCATCCTGCCTCCTCTGGGTCACCTCACAGTGGAATGTTCCAGAGCCTTCCAGCTATGTGACATTGGTAAGCCACTTTGCCTCAGACCCTGGTTTCTTCATCTGTAAAAGGGTTATATCCCTCGCCTCTCAAGCCCCTGGCGTGTGGTCTGACATAGCTCGGTGCTTCCCTTCAGCTCCCAGCCACAGCTACTCCTGACATCCCCATAGCATCCTTAGAGGTATCCACCTAGGCTCCCCCGAGGTACGCAGGATAGGAGGTGTGACTACCTCCGAGGGGGCAGAAGGACCCATGCAGATAGTGCTTGAGGAGGACTGGGTCCCCAGGGAGGACAGGGACACATTACAAACTGGGCACAGACATGCTTCAGAGCCCAGCAGCTAATGCCCATAGTTGACAGACCATCTCTTCCTGTGATCCTTGTCACAGACTCTCACTATCTGCTCATAGGCCCCTGCACACCCCACACGCTCTCGCCCTTTTGGACTTTTCTCTCTCTCTCTTTTTTAAGTGTTACCTGTTTTTCTTTTTTTAAACTTTATTTATTATTTAAAAATTTTTTAATGTTTAGTTAATTTTGAGTGACAGAGACAAAGCGTGAGCGGAGGAGGGGCAGAGAGAGAGAGAGAGAGAGAGAGGGAGACACAGATTCTGAGGCAGGCTCCAGGCTCTGAACTGTCAGCACCGAACCCGACATGGGGCTCAAATTCACGGACCATGAGATCATGACCCGAGCCAAAGTCAGATGCCCAACTGACTGAGCCACCCAGGTGCCCACTTTATTATTTATTTTGAGAGAGAGAGAGCAGGGAGAAGGGCAGAGAGAGAGGGAGAGAGAATTCCAAGCAGGCTCTGCACTGCCAGCACAGAGCCCAACATGGGACTTGAACTCACAAACTGAGATCATGACCTGAGCCAAAATCAAGAGTCAGATGCTTAACCAACTGACTGACCCAGGCACCCCTCCTGCTTGACTTCTGCTCATAATGTTTCTTCTGCCTGGTTCCCTTCTCTCCTCTTTTTTTTCTGGTTTATTCCTGCTCATCTTTTAGCACTCAATCCAGGGGCTCCTTGTACAAGCTTCCTGATTCCCATCCCCTCACATGCTCCTCTGCCTACCGGGGCTGAACCCAGAGCCCCTGAGAACCCTGAAGTGCCTGGAATACTTCTCTGACATTGAACCTATTGCCCTGCATTATGCTTCTCCCTTTGTGTGTCTGTCTGCCCCTTGCCAGCAGCTCCTTGAAGTGGGATTGGGCTTTTATTCATCTTTGCCTCTTCAGGGCCTGAACAAGACCTGCACGTGCTAGACACCCCATAAATGCTTGAGTGGCCATGATCTTTAGAGAAGCAGGAACAGGATGGTTTCCAGAGTAAAAGTGGTGTGGTGATGCCTCAGGGCCTGTGATAAGACAGCTAAGGCAAATGGATCACCTCTACCTGAAGACAAACCACAGGCTTCCTTGGGAGCAGTTCCCAGCTGCAAAGAGATTGCTACCCCAATATCCCAAACACAGTCACCTTTTTCCAACAGTTGAATCATTGACACCACGTTCGGATGAAGAGAGGAGTGCAGCCACAGGTAGGCACCCCAGGAGGTCAGCATGCCCTTCCACTCCTCCATGCTTATTTTGCATATTTTTCTGACTGGGTCCATACTGTTGTTTATTGCAAGTTCTAAGAAAAATTTAATCCAGGGATACAGCTGGGTGGCACAGTCAGTTAAGCATCTGACTCTTGGTTTGTGCTCAGTTCATGATTTCATGGTTCGTCAGTTTGAGCCATGCATGGAGCTCTGCACTGACACTGTGGAGCCTGCTTGGGTGCTGGGAGCCACACCGGCCTCGTTGGATGCGCTGGATGATGGTCACAGCGAGGAAATGGCAGTGTTTGCACAGCTCCTGCCATGAGAAATGAAAACTGGTATCTCCTTCTGCTACTACTGGCTCTGTTGGAAATGAGCCTGCTGGTATTGACCAGGCCTCACAATATTCCAGATCAGACTGATATTCCCCACACAGATACCTTATAGGGTAAGGCTTATTCCTGCCTCTTCAAATGAGATTTTAGATATAAGCACTGTGAATGATTGTCAAAAAGGCTCTTCTTATGGGCCTTGCAGATCCAAGACTTAGATAATAAAGGGGGTTAAGAACACAAGAGTTACAATTGAGCCTGGCCCCGAGACAAAAAGCCTAATTTAGAGTTAGGAACAGATAAGGGCAGAACTTAAGTTAACACTTACACCTTTTCTAACTGGTGATGTATGGCAGTCCCTTCCCTAAGGCGTACTTTCCACAAACACCCTCCCTTACGTTGGCGGCTGGGATGAGGATAGATAAGAGTAGCTAAAACATAACCCAAAAACAAAGACCAACATGTTTAGGGCCTCCGTGGTGTTTACACATATAGCATCAAGTCAAAAATGTTTCCACAAACAACTTATTAACCAGCTCAAAAACATTCACCCTCTTGTGAGCCAGACAAAATGATTCCTAGCCTATCTATATACAACTTAACCTATGTCCCAATCTTTGTGTTATTAACTTAGAACAAATATGTATGTCATCCTGTTTTTCACTAAGAACATCCTTTCTTTAGTTGTAAGATTTATTCAATCTCACTATGATTGGGGTAATTCTGCAAGAATACTTCCATAAAACCTGTTTTTGTACACTTTCCAAAGCATCTTATCACAAAGAGTTTTCCATTGTAAAAATTCCTTTTTCTGATCTCCTGTTGTCATTTGACCTATAAATAAAGACGCCAAAACCAACAGGGCAGAGATGCCTGCTTGGTGACCAGAAAGATTCTTGTGGCTCTGCCAACCCTCCCTCACCAACACTGTCCATCCTTCAGGGACCCCTGGACCCGCTGGAGCTGGCCTCTGGCACTTGGGATTCTCTCTCTCCCCTTCTCACTGCTCCTCCCCCACTTGTGCTGTGTCTCTCTCTCTCAAAATAAATAAACTTTAAAAAAAAAAAAAAAGGGAGCAGCTCTTTCTGCCCACACATCCTGTCCCTATGCTTTAATAAGGTCACCATTTTGCATCCCCCACCAAAAAAATCTTAATCCATGGTTTCCCTGCCCCTTTACAAGACTGTTACTTAATGCTTGGCCCATCTCTGGCCTGTTTCTTTCTATTCTCACACAATAGTCCCTTAAGGGGGGCAGATAGGGAGATAGGTACCCCAAGGGGGAAGAAAAGGGGTCCAGAGAAAGAGGATGCACCCTGGGAAGTGTTTCTCTCTCTCCTGCCAGATCCTTGAGTGTCCGGCTGAGGCCAGGGCAAGGGGTGGTGGGTAGCATTGGTCCCACCAGGAATGGGAGAGTGGTTCTTACTTGGACAAGGCCAGGCCATGCTCGCCCAGCTGTGGGTGCAGGTCAGCCAAGAGGATCCCGGCCTCCACCGTCACCTGCTTCTTCTCTGTGTCCACCTGCAAGAGACCAGCATAGGCTGCCATGAATGAGACTATCAGCCAGCCCTCCCCCAGCAGCCATATTCCCATGAGTATGAGCAAGCCTGTCCCAGCCTGTGGTCAGCTCAAGCCACCTCTTGCTGCAGGCAGCTGAAGGGCATGTGGGCAGAGCCTTGGAGCGCTGGAGCTCTGGGAATACAGTAATCCTCCCTTATCTACAGGGGACACTTTCCAAGATCCCCAGCAGATGACTGAAGCCACATCTAACACTGAACTTTATATATACTCTATGTTTCCTATGTTTACCTATGATAAAGTTTAATTTATAGATTATGCACAGTAAGAGAGTAACAACAATAACTAAAGATAAAACAAAACAATTGTAACAATATATTGTAATAAAAGTTACAGGGATGGGAGATAATAAAATGCCTGTGTGATGATGGGATTGAGATAAAGGATTTAGGAATTGTGACGTAGGATTAGGCTACAGTTGACCTTCTGATATGTCAAAAGGTAGATCATCTGCTTTCAGAGAGTGGTTGACTTCTGAAACCAAGGAAAATGAAACCACAGATAAGGCGGGGACTAGTGTATTCTGTATAACCCCTTCTTCTCACAGGGGAAGGAAATAAGGAGCAGGGAAAAAAAGGGGTTCGCTCAAGGTCACTGCCACAACTGCACTTTTCTCCAGCCCCACCCCACCGGGACTAGAAGGTGGGATTCCTGGATGGTCGTGCAAAGCCACCGACTAAGGAGGACCTATGCCTGCAGGGGCTTGATTCTACTAAACCGAGACCCAGTTCCCCACTTATTCTTACCCGGGGAGGTCTCAGGCAAAGACAGAGGACTGGAAAGAGACAGGAGTTTCCTGCCACACACAAGAAGGGTTATAGAAGATCCCTGGCAGCCCAGGGAGGTAGGAGCAGGCTCTGCTTTCACAGGGAGGAGACTGAAGTTCAGGGACTTCGAGTTGCTCATCCAAGGTCATGCAAACAATGGCAGTGGAACGGAGAGGAGAATTCACATCTGTGGGACTCCAAATCACAGCTTGTGCTCAAGCTCGTTCCACTGACCCTGAGCACAGAGCTGGGCAAAACCAACTGTTGGAGTCCAACCCTCACTAATTAGCAATCAGAGTTCATTACTGCCATGACTGACGTCTTGACCAGGACATTTTCTATGGGGTGGAGACTGTCAGCCTGAGCAAAGAAATACATAATGGAGAGAAATCCAGAACTTCTGCCAGCACGGCTGGGGGAAGAGGGGGAGGTTATCTGGCAAAAACTACAGTTCAGGAGAGCTGGCCCTGCAAGGTGAGAAAAGAAGTCCTCCTAAGGTGCAGGGCACCTGTCTGGCCTCTCCTTCTTGGCAGGTGCTGGCTGAAATGCACAGCATCTAAGCACAACACTGGTGTTAGACTCCTAAGTTTGTGCCCAGCACTGCTAATAATCTGCTGTGTGATCCTAGGTACATCACTCACCCTCTCTGATCTCATTTCCCCATATGTAAAACTAGTTAGGTGTAAACCCTTCCGGATCTGTGACCATGAGTCCATCTTTGGGGATCTGATTTGCCATTGTTCTAGAGAAGCCGAGAGGAGGCACCAGGAGGGAGGAGCCAAACATTCTCTCTGTGGCAACAAGGAGGCGCGAACAGCTGACGAGAAGCCTGAACAAGCCTAGGGAAGGCTCCGGGGAGGGGTGACCATGGGCAGGTCAGAAATTGGGGTGTCACTTTGGACTCAGGAGCAGGGAGAGGATCAGGCCTGAGGGCAAAGGCTAAGGAGTTTCCGCGCAAGATCTGGGACAGAGGCTGAGGCCAGGGAAAGCAGAGGTGGGGGGCTGAGGGCTCTGAGTACCTGGAGAAGCCGGTTCATCTTGCCCATGTGGATCATGAAGCCATCGGTGCAGGCGATGTCCGAGGGTGAGTGGCCACCGCCCACCACCTTCACCCGCTTGTTCTGCTGCCTGGCCAGGGCCAGCACCTGCCAAGGCAATGCTGGAGTCAGCCGCAGGCCAGAGACTCCTCTGCAGGGCCTAAGGGGGGCAGCCCACCCAGGCTGGGCACCGTCCCTTCTCCCCCAGGTTTCCAAGGCTCCTGCCTGGCTGGAGGCTGCTGTGCAGTCCAGCCCAGGAAGGAGAGCCTTCAGAGTAAGGTTCCAGCTCCTCATCTTGTCTCACATGGGCTCAGCTGCCTGGAATGAAGGTTGCTAGTGGTGAAAGTGGCTTTGACTTTGCACCTGGGTCTACCCCAGGCCCAGCTCTAGTCTCTAGTGGTCACTGAATGAATACATAAATAAATGCATGGTATCACCTAAATGAAGCCATTCCCTTTCACCTTCATGTCCCTGCTCCAAAACCTCATATCTGGTACCTGGAACACTGGTCCACAGTGTACCACAAGGGGTTCCATAAGCAAGTGAGATTGAGAAGTGTTCTGTGCAGGGACAGTGAGAGGTGCTGGGTGTCCCAGCAGGGACAGTGCTGGGAGGATACAGTGGAAATCAAGCCAAGCATGGTCTTACATCCTTATGAGAGAGAGGGCCAGAAGCATCAACATGTTCAAGTCGACAAATAATTTGCAAGTTAGGAATATGCAATGAAGGAAACAAACAAGGAGCTGAGACAGAGACCCCTGGGGACACACTTCAGGTAAAGTGGTCTCAGAATGCACTGAGGAGCTGAAGTTTACCCTGAGCCCTAAAGGATGAAAAGGAGTTAGTCATGTGAAAAGGGAAGGTATAGGCATTCTGGCAGTGGGAACAGCAAGTGCAAAGGCCTGGGGGTAGGAAAAACTCTGGTTTGTCATAAGACAAAGGATGTGTCCTTCCACAAAGGATGAACCAAGGCCAGGTGATACATGGCCTTGTGAGTCAAGCTGGGCTTTTACTCCACAAATAATAGGGAGCCTGTGGGGGTGCCTGAGTGGCTCAGTCAGCTAAGTGTCCGGCTTCGGCTCGGGTCACAAGCTCACGGTTCACGGATTTGAACCCTGTGTCAGGTCCTGGGCTAACAGCTCCGAGACTGGAGCCTGCTTTGGATTCTGTGCCTCCCTCTCTCTCTCTGCCTCTCCCCTGCTTGTGCTCTCCCTCTCTTTCAAAAATAAATAAATAAACATTAAATAGTCAGCCTGTGAAGGGAGCCCAATCCACATTTTAAGAAAATTATTTTTGCTGAGGTGGAGAGTACCTTCAAAGGAAGTGAGAATTGAAGCAGGGAGACCAGGGCCAAGGCCGCCGGAGGTCATGGTGAGTGAGGAAGGGATGGTGGACAGGGCATGGAGAGTGGCTGTGCTGCCGAAGAGAAGGGGATGGGTTCTGGAAACTTCTGGGGCAAGACTTGCTGATCACAGATAAGGGTAAAGAAAAGACCGTGACCCACTTTCCTGGCATCTAGTGTGAGCACCCAGGCGCCCCCTGCAGAGATGGGGATAGAAGAGGTTGAAGTCAACAACAAAAGAGAATCAAAACACTGGAAATGTAGTTTGGGGCGTGTAAGTCTGTGATGACCTTGAAGCACACAGGAGAGAGGTTGCATGTGGGTCTGCAGCCTGAAAGGAGATCTGAGCTGGAGACAAAATGCTGGCATCCCTGATGGCACGGTAGGGTATAATGTGGAGCATAGCAGGGGCATGGGGGCCAGAAGCCCAGAACTTTTCTGGTGGGCTTCATGGAACTCTGGGAGGGTGGGGGCAGGGGCTCCCAGCTTCCTGTTTGAGGCGGGGCCTGGTCTATAGCCCTGGAGGGACACTCACCTCTCTGACCTCCTCCACGGACGTGGGCTGGTAGTACATTTCTGGGCAACAGCCATAGGTCCTAGCCCAGTTTTGGAACTTGACTCCCTTGTACCCATGGACCTGTGATAGAAAAAGAGCTGGGTCACCACAGACATGTGGCCACAGGCTGCCCTGATGCCCCTCCGTGCTCAGGCCAATGCAGGATGGAAGGCTGCGGCCAGGGCGCTGAGCCAGGCTCCTGTGCCCTGGTCACGTCTCAGGGCCAGTGGGAAGATTAAACGGGCATCCGAAGCTCTTCAGCTATGTGCAGGACTTCCTGCTGTTCTCTCCCTTGACCCCTCCTGGCCACGAGGGCAGGGCACACAGAGAACACTGTCTGTTCTTAGCAGAAGGGACAGGGTTGGGGGTGGAGCATGAAAAAGCAGGACTCAGGGCTCCTGCCCCTCACCCCACTCTGTTCCAGGCTCCTCTCTGAGGAACCCAGCAGAGGGTGTACTCTGGTCCAGCAGGGACACTGGGGAAGGGGCTGCACGCACTGGCCTGGTGGCCCAAGAAGGACTTGGAGCTGGCCTTCAGCTCTCCTACAAGGCTTCTCCCACTCAGACGGGCCAAGTCTGGAAGCCTCTACAGCAGCCTTTCTGGCCTCTAAACCAAAGCAGGGAGCTGTGGGGATAAGCTTCCCATGTGTTAGACATAAGCACTATACAAGATACTCTACACATGATATCTTATTTAGACCTCATAACAATGCCACAAAGTAGGTAATATTACTCCCATTTTCAGGAGCAGAAACCAAAGCTCAGAGAGGTGAGGTAAGTGCCCTAAGCACACACAGCAATCAAATGAAGACACTAAGAGTATGACCCAGCCCTTACTCTCTTCCATGCTTTCCCCACCAGTGCCACCCCTAGAGCCTCAAGTCCAATTCAAGAGGTTCCCCATGGCCTCCCCTTGGCCCTAGACTTGACCTAACTCCATCCTCCCATGTCTGGCCCGTGGGCCCAGCTTGAACACAACCCTGTGGAGCTGACCGGCTGTGCTCTGTGATCCTACCATGGCTCCGGCAGTGGGTCAGTGGCCTTGGTGGACTGTGGCTTCCTCCAGGAACAGAGCACTGGGCAGCAGGGTGCCGAGGCAAGGTGGGGCCAGAGTCCGGAGCAGGCAGCACAGCGGCCTCCGAGCTCAGGGCTGGCTCCTATCTACTGCATACCGAGGGGCTTCGCGGCAAAGGTGGGTAAACAGGGTTGCGACAAGCTCCACCCGGACAGATAGCAGCCCAGGCCCTGCCCCCTGCCCCGGGGGCCCTTCTCAGCTGGTGGAAGAGCAGAGTTTAAGAGGCAGCTGCTCTGTCCCTGGATTCTACTTGAGCTCTGACCCCAACTTTGGACATTCTGGACCCAAAGGACCCGCAGCTTCCAAATGGGATCCTTAATTCCATAGGTCAGTGGAGGCTATGACATGGGGGGTTCTGTGGGGGATCTTAATGCAGGGGGTTCCTTGGTGTCCGCTTGGAGGAGGGCACACATGGCACCCCAGTGCAGTGCAGTGAGCATCTGTGTTAGCTCATTTGTCCGATTTGGGAGATGAACACACCAAGCTTCCCATCGCTAGAGAGACATGACAGGAGGCTGGTGGCCATAGCACAGGGTGGGGGGAGACGAGAGACATGCAGCTCAGGCACTCTTCCAGCAGAAGCCTCCCCCAGGCTCTATGCAGACAGCCCTGGGTTCCTCCTCCAGGCTCTGCCTGTTAACCTCCAGGAACCTCATTTTCCTCCTCAGTGAAGTTGGGGCACTTTTGCCTAATTCTCTGGGTTGATATAAAGGTTAGAGCAGATCTATGAGGAGCATGGTTCATGGGACACAACGGGAGCTTGAAATGACAGCAAGCTTGAAATGACCCTGGCTGTGAGCTTGCTGGTGGCAGTATTCTCCAGACACTACTGTCTTATTGCCAACCCCAAGCGCAGTTGTGCAATGAACAAACAAATCAGCTGCCGAGCATCTGGCTTTTCAGATGTCTCCAAGCCAAGGGCTGTTGTCTAGTGGGAGGCAGGGGCAACCGCTCTGGAGTCTGGGAGCAGGAAAGGTTGGGCTGCAGGAGTGGAGCTGGGTTAGAGATGCACAAGAAAAGTCCTGGCAAGGGCAATTGCCACGCTCACCTGTATCCCCCGGACCAGGATTTCTGCCAAGCTGCTGAGTGCATATGTGTGCGTGTGTGTGTGTGAATGATTGCATCCCCACCCCAGATGCAAATGTACAAGTATGAGGTGGGGGTCCAGCCATGTGTTCATCACAGGGAAAGCCTGGCTCAGGAGGTACTGCTCTTTACTCGGCAGCTGGGTCATGGGGAGGGGAGTCCCAGGGCCTCCCTGAGGGGAGAACTGATCTTTCAGGGAAAGGCTGTGTTATAGGGAACTGTGTTCCTCCCAAATTCCTATGGTGAAGCCTTAGCCCCCAGCCACTCAGAATGTGACTGTATTTGGAGAGAGAGCCTTGAAGTTAAGGTGAGGTCATGAGGATGGACTCTGAATAGGACTGGTGTCCTAAAAAGAGGAGCACGCAGAGGAAAGGCCATTAGAAGACTCCGGGAAAAGGCAGCCCAGGAGACAGACCTCAGGAGAACCCACCCCTGCCGACTGCTACATCTCAGACTTCCAGCCTCCAGAACTGGGAGAAAATAAATCTCTGCTGTTGAAGCCACTTAGTCCGTGGTAGTCTGTTATGACAGCCCAAGAAAATTAACGCCTGGTTTTCTCAAGCTCCCCAGGGTAAGATCTCTACGGGGGCCTTCACGAGAGAGAAGAGCAAGGCCCGGCTCCTGCCTCTGAGCCCTTTTCACTCGGGCTGTCCCTGATGAAAGACACAGGTCCTGCGCCCTCCGATGCTGCTGGCTCCACTGACTGAGAGAAGAGAGCTGCAGGAACCTCCCCATAGAACCTTAGACTCCCTGATAGCTAAAACATGGAAAGAGCCTAAGTGTCCATCAACAGACGAATGGATCAAGAAGATGTGGTTTATCTATACCATGGAATACTACATGGCAATGAGAAACAATGAAATCTGGCCATGTGTAGCAACATGGATGGACCTTGAGGGTGTTATGCTGAGCGAAATAAGTCAGGCAGAGAAGGACAAATACCATATGTTTGCACGTATAGGAGGATTAGGAGGAACTTGACGGAGGACCAAGGGGGAGAAGAAGGGCGGAAATGGTGGGGGAAAGGGAGAGAGGCAAACCATGAGAGACTCTTGAATGCTGACAAAAACTGAGGACTGATGGATGTGGGGGGGAGGGGGGGATGGGCATGAAGGAGGGCACTTTGGGGATGAGCACTGAGTGTTATGTAGAAACTAATTTGACAATAAACTATTTGTAAAAAAAAAAAAAAGAAAAAAAGAAAAAAAGAAATATGTAAAATAGAAGTTTAAAAAAAAAAAAAAAAAAAGAACCTTAGACTCCCTGGCCGGGAAAGGCAGTGCTTGGTGAGGGAGACAGTGGTTGGAAGCCTTAGGGCTGAGGGGTGGAGAAAGTAACTGGTTGGCTACTGTCCCAAAGCCCTGGAAGGAGGCCCAGGAGCTGAGGCCAACAGATGGGGTGAGCATCAAGCCCAGAAGGCAGAGGCCCATGGCAGGTAGAGGAGCGAAACGTGGAGGGTCAGTCTGGCATCACCCCAAATAACCAACTTGTTTCCCACTCACCCACACTCAGACCCAAGGTTTCTCCTTTTGGCAAATGCATTCTATGCTGAGATAGCCTTGAAGCCAGGTGCTGTGGGTGTGGGTGGGCCTGGGCTGTGCCCTGGAAAGGCGGAGAGTCTCCCTTCCCTCCTTTGAGGAGGATTTACAGAGCCTGGAGCCATGCACCGTTTTCTCTTTGCCTCTTACTACTGCCCTTGAATGGAAGGCTTTCATCCCCACCCCCTCAAGCCAGTCACATCAATTTTACAAACTGCCTTTACGGAGAAACATAAAATGATATGAAAAAAATATAAAAATCAGCAAAAGCAGTATCAGTTAATTCAATCTGCATCACCACCATCTGTGATTAAAGTGGTTTATTGCTTATTCCTTCTTGCATGAGGACTCAGCTAGTTCAATAATTGCTGAGTCTTAATTTTTTCTAACATTTGTTGGCGAGAGAAATTAATGCTACTGTTTCAGTGGTCACTGAAGCTTGTTTTTGACCTTTTCCCCTCCCATACTTGTTCACCAGTCAGAGTGAGCTCTTTAATATACAACTTATATGTGGTAACTTTGAACACTTCTTTGAAATAGTGTGAACATCTGGGAGAGTGTTTAATGACTCCTGATCTGCAGATATTACTTCCTTGTGCTACTAATTCAAGTTCACTCAATACATAAGACAAAGAAGGATGACACTGTCTAAAATGCTCCGTCTCTCAGTCCTTTTTCCACCTGAATCCAGGATAATTGATGGAGACAAAGACCAAGTACCCATCTCCTCAATCTATTCAAATGGCATAAAAGACTATAGTTGGGGGCTTTCTCTGGAATTTTCTTACTTTGAGTTACATAAGCCAAGAATTGTTTCTGTCTTTGAAATTCTGACACAAGCCAGTCACACCTACTCTCCAATGCTGATACATTCTGCCTCATTCTGGGGGTTCTGGCATGACTATCATGGAAAACAGTGATGAACTGCCTAAGAAACACAAAGTAGATGTTAACCAAGGCCTTTTAAGCTAGGAAGGTATTTTTTACTTGATTAAAAATGAGTTTACAGGGGCGCCTGTGTGGCTCAGTTGGTTAAGCATCTGACTCCTAATCTCAGCTCAGGTCTTGATCTCAGGGTCATGGGTTAAAGCCCTGCATTGGGCTCCATGCTGGGCATGAAGCCTACTTAAAAATAAATAAATAAATAAATAAATAAATAAATAAATAAATAAATAAATAAAATGTTTAAAGATAAATAATGAGTTTGTGACTTATGGGAGAAAATATTTGTAAATCTTACAAAGGGTTAATATCCACAATATATAAAGAACTCCTACAACTCAATCTGAAAGCAAACATTAATAAAAAATGGGCAAAGATGGGGTCCCTGGGTGGCTTAGTCGGTTAAGCGTCCGGCTTTGGCTCAGGTCATGATCTCACAGCCAGTGAGTAGCTGGAGCCCCACATCAGGCTCTGCTGTCAGCACAGAGCCTGTTTCAGATCTTCTGTCCTCCCCTCTCTCTGCTCCTCCCCCAGTCACGCATGCTCTCAAAAATAAACAAATATTTAAAAAAATGAAATCTTTTAAAGAATGGGCAAAGGACTTGAATAGACATTTCTCCAAAGGAGATATTCAAATGGCGAAGAAGCACAGGAAAAGATGCTCAACATCACTAAGTATTAGGGAAATGCAATCAAAACTATAGTGAGATACCTCTTCACACCCATTATCAGTAACTATGAGCTATTATCAAAAACTCAGAAAATAACAAGTGTTGGTGATGATGTGAAAAAACGAAACCTTTTGCATTGCTGATGAGAATGTAACATGGTGCAGCCATTCTGGAAAACAGTGTGGTGGGGCCTCAAAAAATTAAACCTAGAAGTACCACAGGATCCAGTAATCCTACCTCTGGGTATGTACTCAGAACTGAAAGCAGAGACTTGAAGAGATATTTGTACTCTGTGTTCACACCAGCACTATTCACTGTAGCCAAAAGGTAGAAGCAATCAAGTGTCAACAAATAGATGAATGGATAAACAAAACGTGGCATATCCACATTCTGGAATATTGCTCAGCCTTAAAAAGGAAGGAATATCTGATACACGCTACAACATAAATGTGCCTTGAGGATCTTCTACTGAGTGAAATAAGCTAGTCACAAAAAGACAAGTACTGTATGATTCCACTTATAGAGACCAAGAGTAGAATGGGGATTCCCATGGTTGGGGAGAGGGAGAACTGGGAGTTAGTGTTTAATGGGTACAGTGGTCTCAGTTTGGGACAATGAAAAGGTTCTGGAGATGGATGGAGGTGATGGTTGCAAACAGAGTGAGTGCACTTAATGCCACAGAACTGTATACTTGAAAATAGTTAAAACAGCAAATTTTAATGTATATTTTACTACAGTGATTGTGAAAAAAAAAGTGAGCTCACAGGAGTATAAACATCATTGATATTCTTTCAAATGTAGGTACCATGTAATGGTACATTACCATATAATGTAAATATGGCAAAATGTAAGTAAACTGACAAAGTGATCCCACTCATACCTTATGAATACCAAAGCGGTAAACCTCTACAGTAACTGTAAATCCTTCAGCTGTGTTAGTAAAAAAATTATTGCGTTTCTGTTTTATGCAGCAGACACCCACTGAATGCTAGCAGATTCATAGATGACTAGAACCTGGAGGTCTCCTTCCAAAATTAATTCTATATACCAGGAGTCTTAATAAGAGTCACCTTCCTTCTTCCCTCCTTCCTTCCTACCCTTCTTCCTTCCTTCCCTCCTTCCTTCCTCCCACCCTCTCCCCTCCGTTCCTGCCTTTCAGTCTCTTTTAAAGTGGGCTCCACACCCAACACAAGGCTTCAATTCACAACCCCGAGATCAATAGTCTCATGCTCTACCTACTGAGCCAGCCAGGCACCCCTAGTCTTATTCCATCAAGTCTTGGGATGGTGAAAACAGTCATGCCAATTGGCCATTCACCCAGTAGGGCATCAAAATGGAGAATCTGAAATCGACTCATTTATCCATCCATGCATCTGTGCTTTCATTCTCTGATTTATTCAGCAAACACTGAATAAGCATCTACAAAATGCCAGGTATCTGCTGGGTCAGGATGGAGGATGAGTCACCTAGATAGGCAGTTGCCAATCCAAAGGGCCTTACAGTCTCATGGGGCAGACAGTTAACAACCAGGTGCAGTAGCCAACACTTGGAAGATACTTCTATGACTGCTAAGAAAATATTTTATCCTTTCTTGATAGATGGATTCCTTTGAACAGTGAGGTATGATGTTTCTCACCCAATTCCTGTTGCATAAACCTTTGAGGTTCTGACTGAGATATTCTAGCTATTGTTTGTTCTGTATTTGTGCTTATGTTGATGTGAATGACATGCAAACTGGCCTAGAGTCACTTCAAGGCCTAACACCAGGGGTTCACTGTACCCCAAGGGAGGCAGAAATAGTTTTTTTGTCCCATCTGTTCTAACAGACTCAGAAGACATTTCTCCTGGAAACCTTGGCTATTGCTAGCTGACAGCCACTAAGTGCAAAGACATAATTTGTGAGTGACTGCAACCCCCTTTGGAGAGCTCCGTGGCCCTACCGATATGCAGGTGTAATGGAGAATATGGGGTCTGCCATGCCTCTTTGTAGCAGAGTTCCCTTAGCGAGGTCAATACATTTGTTATTTAAGTCCTTTGAAGTCATGAAATGAATGTCACACTGTATACTTAAAAGAACTTGCACACACTCCCAGCAAGTTGTACTTAAACTGGCATCTAAAAAATCTGTCTTAATGAGGTCAGGGCCCTTTGCCACTACAGCCACAGTGGCTGATTGACGTGTGGGCTGAAGCTCTCACAGCAGTGGGGAAACACACAGTTCTAGATACTTGTAGTGTTTTCTCATATAACCTGAAGACTCTTCCAATCCAGGAACCTCTGTGACCCTCAACCTACCTGACTGGTTATATTCTTGTTGCGAAATCTATGGACTTGATTCATTTGACCCTTATTTGAGATTGAACATACTCAGTTTTAATAGAATATCTGACTTATACAGTGATCCCCCCCCACCACCAGGTCACTAATTTTCCTTTTATTTTATTTAATTTTTTTAATGTTTATTTATCTGAGAAAGAAAGATGGAGGAGGAGGAGAGAGAGAGGGAAACACAGAATCCGAAGCAGGCTCCTTGTTCTGAGTTGTCAGCACAGAGCCCAATGTGGGGCTTGAGCTCACAAACTACGAGATCACAACCTGAGCTGAAGTCAGACATTCAACTGACTGGGCCACCCAGGCACCCCATTAGTTTGCCCTTTAAATGGGCCCTTTAATTTACAGACCCAAAAGGAAGGAGGTGGTGGTGGTGTGGCTGGAAATTTAAAGTCCACATAGGCCTTGTCCTAGGATAAACTAGAAAGCTTATAGCTAATACTTTCACAGCGCTTCCTCTGTGCCAGATGCTGTTCCAGGTCCCTGTACACATTAACTCATTTGGTACTCACAATCACCTAAGAGGCTGGTACTCTTCATGTACTCTTTGTAGATGAGGAAATGAGGCACAGGAAAGCCTTTCTTGAGGTGACACAGTAGAAAGTGGCATATCAGGAGTCTAGTCCAGGTAGTCTGACTCCAGACTCAGAAAGGAGATTTTTGGTAGGACCTAGCCTTTGGGACCAGACAGAATGCACCTGAATCTAGGCTATGCTTCCAACCAATCAAGTGACCTCAGGCAAGCTATCAGAATCTCAGCTTTCCCATCTGTTAAATGGGAAGAAGAGATGTTATATAGAAGACTCTAAGGCACACAGACGTACTTAATAATGATAGCGGCTAACATTTCTAACCTTTCCCTTGCCTTCTACACACAGACACACCCTTTCTGCCAGGCTAATTTACACTCCATATAATTAATAATTCATCTTAAAGACACTACCTTTTCCCTCAAGCTCTCCCAGGAGAATATGCAGCAAGGGAGGTGTGCATATACACCTGTGAGCACACCGGTCTCAGGGGGAGGGAGAAAGAGCACATGACCCACTTCGGGGACTTGCTGGGGGAGATAGTAAGAGGGAGTCCCACAGGGGGCACAGGGTCAAGGAGAATTGGCATGGTACCGGCAGAGACTTAAGGGGTGGTGACGTTGGAGAGCATTTAGGAATCTGGGAGTGATCAGGGCAGGCTGAGGGTGAGAGACCTTTATTTGGGGACAGCGGGAAGGCCCTGCAATATTCACATCAGACTCTGTGCAGGGAGACCAGTTAGGAGGCTGTGCTGCAGGGGTCTGGGCAGGAGGCGATGACAGCTTGGAGCCGGAAGGCGGGGAGTGGGCGTGGGGGGCCACAACTGGAGGGGACAGATCCAGTGAGATGCAGCTTCTTGATGTGGTTGGGAAGGTACAGCTGAAGGAAGATCTGGGTCTGTGCTGAGACACATGGCAGCTACTGCCAGACGTGGCCATTCAGATTTATACCAATGACAAGGAAATGAGAAGATCATTTCCTCATACTCATTTTCCACCTTCAAGTGCTCAGGCCATGCGCGTGTGTGCGAGCATACCGTGCTGAGGGCACATGGCTGCATGTGGTTGGCAGCTTCTCCATCTGACAGCACAGAGCAGACCATTTCTCTCATCTCAGAAAGTTCCGCTGCACAGGGGCACCTGGGTGGCTCCATCGGTTAAGCGGCTGATACTTGATCTCGGCTCAGGGCATGATCTCAAGGTTCATGAGTTCAAGCCCCATATTGAGCTCTGCACTCACAGCGTGCAGCCTGCTTGGATCCTCTGTCACCATGTCTCTGCCCCTCCCCTACTTGTGCTCATACTCTTTCTCTCAAACATAAATGTTAAAAAATGCTTTTAAATAAAAGAGAAAATTCCACTGGGCACTGCTGCTCCAGATCATGCAGGGCCTTGGAGCCTCAAGAGCAGAGGGAAACACATTCATTCGAAGACAACAGTCTACCACCCTCGCTCTGCCTTCCTCCCAGAACAAACGCCAGTGTCAGGGATGTTTTAACTTTATTAAACCAATGAGTTCCAATCTCAGCCAACGTGCTTCAAAATTAACTGCTGATTTTGCTGCAATGCCATGATTGGTTAGTCAAAGAGAAATCACCCCTGGCCAACCCCTTTCTGTGCCCTATAGAACACTAGCTCTTAGAGATAAAGTAACACCTTCATACCTGGAAAATGAATCACACATGATTTTTCCTGCATCTAAAATTATGTCAGACCTGACTCTCTTCATAAAGGAAACCACCCTTGGAAGTAAGCCCCCTTAGAATGTTGCTGCCGGTTACAAGAGGTGCTGGAAAGGCTTCCTCTGCATTCTAAGCCCAACAGAGGAAGGGCTCGAAGGTCTGCTGGGGGCTGGCACACACCAAACCCTAAAGCTTCGAGACCACTGGTGGGTCCCTGCCATCAGTCTCCAGCCACTCAATGAGGATCCGATTCAACTCGGTGGGCCTGGGAAGGAAACAGAGAGCAATTCGCACCTGTCAAGCCCCACCTCTGAGAGCAGGGGTGATGAAGTGAATGGTGAGGCCAGGAAAGCCCTTATTGGAGGTACAAGGGAAGTCCTGGTCTCCCTCACCCGGGAGTCTCCCCCACCCCCACCACATCTCCTTACTTCTCCATCTGTGTCCAGTGTCCGCAATCCTTAATGTGTCCCCTTTTCAGGTAGGGGATCTAGAAGAAAACCGCACTCAGAAAAGTTAAGTGGCAGAATGCATATGGGTCTGGTTTTAGGTTAGTGCTCCCCTCGGGCCACCCCCGACCCCCCAAAAACCCCTGCATTATTTAGGAAAGGAATGGGCATTTACTGAGCTGCTACTGTGTGCCAGGGAGTCTACATGCATTGCTTTCTCTAACCTTGACTGTAATCCTTTGGGGTAAGGTGAAGGCTCAGAGAAGTCAGGTAACCTGCCCAAGGTCACGCAGAGAGTGATTGAGCTAAGATTCAAATTCAGGGCTGCCTTATTTGTACTCATCGAAACAAACTGCTTCTCTTTAGAATTATTAGGATTCGGCTTGTTCACTGTCTGGAAAATACTTGGTTGTTTGGCTGTCGCCACACAGATATGACTGAGGCAGCCTCCCTTCTCCCCGGCATGCAGGGCTGGTTGGTCTCCCTTTGGGACCCTGAAGCGCCACAGTGGGTCACAGAAACAAGCCCCAAAGGGGGAGGGGGGCCAGCAGCAGCACCACACTTGGCATATGCAGGCTCCCGCCCAACACGAGCCTTGAAATGTGCAACCCGATGGAGAAAACGCTGCGGGGGAATGTGGCTTTCCCCACAGAGGCAAGGACGGCCCCTTCCAAACATAAACCTCACTGAGGTCAGCAGTCAGTTGCCAGGGCCGGAAAGGGCCAGCTGAAAAACTGGAGAGTCTACAGAAACCTTCAGGGGTTGGTGCTGGAGAATATGAGCCTCTCAGTCAGCGGGCTCTGGGGCCCCATGACAAGCGTGTCCTCGGCAGCATCTCACGTATCACACTGTCTGCTGTGCCAATGATGCTAAGGAATTGGACCGCCCCTGGCACTTCAGCAAGATACAATGAGCCAGCCCGCAACAACCCCACCTGCAAGCCTCCGGATCCCCGCCAACCTCCGTGCTCATAGCAGGGTGAGCTTCCAACCCACACATGTGTCACCTGTCAATCCCCTTCAGCGGCTCACACCTGTGGGCATACAAAGTGCAGCCTGGCCCAGTGGGCTCAGCAGAATCTTCCAGACATATGGAGCTCCTGCCATTCTCCCAGTAAACCCTGCATGCTCCTTGCCTCTCACCTGTCTCCTGTTTTCTCTGTAGGGCAGGCCTTAGTCATTCACCAGGGCCAGATGCAGGGCTCCACACCTCTGTAAAGCCCTCACTCCCAACAGTGCCCTTGTCACCTCTCCTGCGTCGGGGATGAATAGCAGGATGGCGAGCTCCCCAACTTATTCACCTTTACCTTCCAGAATCTAGCACTTACGTGCACAGTAAAAGCCCATGAAATGAATGAAGGCACACATGCATGCGTGAGTGAGTGACAGGCTACATCAGTGCAGGGGAAAGGAAGCATCAGTCGGGACTGCTGTTCCTTGAGGTGGCAAGGCTCCCACTGATGAAAGGCCCCGTCCAGCAAGCACTCTGGCTCTGCATCCCCAGCTGCCATCTTTCCCCCGCAAGGCCTGTGCCCTCTCCCACGAAGCACTGATGACCCCAGTGCAGGACAGCTGGCTCACCCAGTTCTCCATATGCTTGGACATCTCCGGAGTGATCACGAAATCCTTCTCCGCGGTCACCATCAGGGCAGGAACCAGGATCTAGGGGAGGGCACCAGGAGGCAGGAGCAGCCAGAGAAGGGAGGAAATGGTCCCTTCTTGCACCCCTCTAAAGCTTAGGCCTTCCCTCTTCCCAGACGGACACAGCACTTCATTTTACTGCTTTGTGGCTTCTCCCAAGATTAACACCCTTCCCCTCAGAAAGACCCCCTGCGGTATGACTGTGGTCCTGGCTTTGTTTCCCCAGGCTTTGCAGGAAGGAGGCACCACTATTACTGGGGATCTAAGATGATGGTGTGAGATGATAGAAAATACAGATTTGTCTCTGCTCCTGTTCCTGAAACCCTGTGTAAATTTTGTAAATTCCAAAGTGATAAGAGCACAAGGGGTATCTTTTGTTCTATCCAGTGGACTCTGGGTGGGCTCCTGAGTGGGGACTGGGTGGGGGCTGGTCACCAGAAAGACCAAGCCATTATTAGAAACTTAGAATTTTCAGCCCCACCCCCTATTCCCTAGAGAGGACGGAGGGGCTGGCAATGGAGTTAATAATTGATCATGCCTACAAGAATAAGCCTCCATCAAAGTCCATAGAATCCAAATAGGATGGGGTTTGGGGAGCTTCCACACAGGCCAACACATCCACACTGGGAGGGGTGATATACCCCAGCTCTGCAGGGACAGGAGTTCCTGTGCTTGGGCCCCTCCCAGACCTCACCATATATGTCTCTCCATCTGGCTGTTCACCTGTATCCTTCGTCGTCCCCTTTAACAAGCTGGCAAATCTGTCTCCCTGAGTTCCATGAGCCACCCTAGCAAATGAATCAAGCCTGAGGCGGGAGGCATGGGATCCTCAGGCACACCTGGGCCTGTGATTGGCATCTGAAGGAGGGGAAGTCTTGTAGGACTGGGCCCTTACCTGTGGGATCCAACACTGCCTCTGGGGAAACAGTGCCAGAACGGAATGGAATTCTGGTGTTGCAGAGAACTGCTTGGTGGAGGTAACCCCCATATATTGGTGCCCAAACACATGAAGTGTTTTTTGTAGAAGTATGAGACACCCAGAAGGACAGACTGGGATTTTCTAAGATGGATGAAGTCAACAGGGTCATGACCAACACGGATTTCGTGCACACGAGTGTGTGGAAGTAAGAACACGTGTGCTGGCCCACTCTGTGTGTCTGATATTTACAGAACCATAAAAAGAAAACCACAGGCCCCAAATGGTGTCACTTGAGCCAGGCCAAGTCATTAAACCAGAGCTTAATACCTAACCTAACTGCAGTTCCTCCCCCAGAAATGTCTTAACTGGTTAGGCTGGAATTTATTGATGAGCACCAAGGAGGTAACCGGTCACACAGGTTCTCCACTTCCCCCTTAGGAAGCTGAGGGACTGTGCATAAGACCCCTGCTCTTCCCCCTAAGGGAACATGACCTTGTCTGAAACAATGGCCTCTTCTCTTTTGCTTATACCTTTCTTGCCCCACCCTCCTTCTGGAGAAAACCTTCCACTTTGTGCAATGCCAGCCCACAGTGCGCCCCTCTGCTTGCCAGAAGGGATGCTAGGCTGCCTGATTCATAAGCCATTTAATAAGGCCAATTAGATCTTCAGACTTATTCTGCTGAATTTAGTTTTTTGATAGAACGGAATAGATGGCACCAGAAAGGAGGAAAGATGCCTTGGATTGAGATCAATATTCCTTTTCTTGGAATTAAGTGGAAACTTTAAAAGGTCAGCCAAGAATCCACGAAGTGAATGGGTCAGCCACAGCTATTATCAGCCTGACATGAGTGGCAGCAGAAAGGACTTCACTTTCGTCTACTGACAGATAGAATACTGTGGGGTGGAGAAAGCCTCCATTTATCCTCTTTGTTCTCCCTCCACCATTATAATTGTCAAACAGCTTCCATTTGTCCTTGGTTAAGGGGCTTGCATGGTTTTCACCACCGCACAGAACGGCATGCTTCTCACCACAGCCCCGCTCCCAAATGATGAAGGAGCAGCAGATGTTCATAAGCGATTTTGTTGCTATGTGATGGAACTAGAGTGTATTACGCTGAGCAAAAGAAGTCAGGCAGAGAGAGACAAATATCCTGTGATTTCACTCATATGTGGAATTTAAGGAATAAAGCAGATGCACATAGGGGAGGGGAAGCAAAAATAAGAGAAAAACAGAGGAGACAAACCATAAAAGACTCTTAAACACAGAGAACAAACTGAGGGTTGATGGTGGGGTGCTGGGTGGGGGGAAGGGCTAAATGGGTGATGGGTGTTCAGGAAGGCACTTGCTGTGATGAGCACTGAGTGTAATATGGAAGTGATCAATCACTAAATTCTACACCTAAAACCATTATTACACTATTTGTTCACGATCTTGGATTTAAATTTAAAAAATAATTTTTTTAAAGGGAATAGGTTGAATGAACAACTACAAAAAACTGGTTTTATTACTGAAACTAATCCTAAGGCTGCTATAAACTCCAGAATATTCCAAGTCAAAATGGAAACTGGTTGTGGAGTTGTGAAAGGAGGTGGGGGAGAAGGAAGATCTGGAAGGTAGCTATAGAAGAATGGGTTTCCAACGTCAGCCCCATTGGGGTGCACCTTCCCAAAGCCTCTGGCATTACGTGCCTCCATGTTGTGAGATTTTGCCTATCCAACCATAGCTTTGTCATTTTTATCAGTCACAGGTGAGGGAGTCAAAGATATTGAGCTTCAACTACTACTACTATTACTACTACTACTACTACATGCTAAGGACTATTTTTGAAGGCATTAACCCACACCTTACGCACACCTATGAGATAAGAACTATTCTCATACTTCTCATTTTTCAGAAGTGGTGATGGAGAACAGAGTGGGTTAAGTGCCTTACCCTAGGTCACACAGGGATTAGATCCCAGGCTAAGCTGCGGCCCAGCCTGCTCTTAACTATGTTCCATGCTCTACTGCCTCACCCTCATGAGGTTGGGATCTCATCTGTTTTTTGTTTTGTTGAGACAGAGAGAGAGAATCTTAAGCACATGGGGCTCGATCCCATGACCCTGGGACCATGACCTGAGTTGAAATCAAGAGTCAGACATTCAACCGAATGAGCCATTCAGGTGCCCCATGGGCCTCATGAGTTTTATCTGCCATGGTATCTCTAAGGTCTAGCACACGGAGGGTGTTCCTCTTCCAATGAATCAATGAGAAAACCAGGGCTACTGAGGGAGCTGAGGAATGCAAAAATGCAATTTCCCATAGGTCTGTAAACTTTTTTTTTTTAAGTTTATTTATTTTGAGAGAGAGTGTGGGTGGGAAGGGCAGAGAGAGAGAGTTCCAAGAGGTTCCACACCATCAGCGTGAGGAGCCCGACGTGGGGCTCAAACTCATGAGATCATGGCCCAAGACAAGATCAAGAGTCAGACGCTTAACCGACTAAGCCACCCGGGCACCCTGGTTTTCAACGTTTTGAATGTAAACTGTGGATCCTGTTATAGGTTTCCCCAGCTATCCAAAAGCAGAGCATTCCTGTGAAAACCGCCATATGCCAAAATGGTGTAAAGTGAAGAAGCAATCACCACTAATTTATATGAAAAAGTTTTTGAACATTCCTGGGCCCCCAAAATAACCTCTCTTAGGTTTTTTCTGAAACTTAGGAAACATCTTGCTAACAGATACACAAAACAGACCACTAGAAAGCCCAGATGCTCACAGATACAGTTCAAGGCTATAGTGACTTAGTGCTGAGAGGCTGAGGGTAGTTCCTGGGGAAGTGGCTTGGCTGGGCCGCTCTCGCTTGCACACTGCCTCTAGAATGACTCACGGCAAAAGAGATACCAGCTGCTTTTTTTTCTAAAAGCAAAAATCCTCTTTGGATTTCTTAGTGAAAACAGATCCTCATGTAGGTCTTTTGTAAAAGCGAGCTTTCAAAAAGCGGTGCATACCGCTATTCACTTCACAGACCCAGAGACTGGAAACCCATTGTCTGCTTGGCAAACAAGGAAACTGAGACTCAGGTGGACTTGGGCAAGGTGACACAGCCAGAGGCTGATGCCTATCTCTCTGAAAGCACCTCACGCTCCTTCTGTGAAATGGGGGCTCTGTGTGATCCCCTCACCTTTAGGAGTCATCCTGGACAATCTGCTGCCTTGACCTGGGGCGCCGTCAGGAGACAGGGCCTTCCACACGGATGCCCTGCTCTGCCCCCAAGCCACCCTCTACCATTCCGAGGAAAGCATCAGTGAAAGCCCTGAGTTGAGGCACTTCTCCCTTGAGTGGAGGGGAAGGGCAGAAAGGACAAAGACAGCAAGTTAGTCTGTCCTGCCCATCCCCCCAACTCTGACCAAACAGCAGATGAACTGGGCCAATGAAGAGCCCCAACAGGGGCTCCTAGGGGAGAGTAGCCACCCTGAACCAGCACTTACCTTTCGTCCCAAGGCTGTGCAGCCCCACAGCCAGTTTACTTCCATGTTTCGATACCAGTTTAGGGGGCCCCTGGGTGGGGAAGATCAGGGAAACAAACACAGGAAGGCTTTCAGGAGATGACTATGCTACAGACCACCCCCTCCCCCCAGGAGCCAGCTCTTCAGAGGGGGTCTTCCCAGCAGGAGCTAAGGTTTCTGCAGGGGAAGGGGGAGGACAGAGCCCAGGGTTCACATCTGGTGGCCGACACACTTGCCATATTTTAACGAGCAAGGCCTAGTGCAGGCATTCAGGCTCGGCTGGGAGGGCTGCCAGCCTCGGAAGTGGGCTTCCGGAAACACACAGAAGCTGGCCCACATTCTCTGGGGGCTGCTGTGTTAGATCATGGGGGGTCTGTTTAGTGCCCTTGCCACCCAGAAGCTGCAGGGATGGTAGGCCTCATCCCATACCCTTCTTTACCAATCATCTCTTCACTGTTTGGGGCACTGCTCTCTTTACCTGAAACCAGACTTCTTGAACTGCTGCACATAGAACTGGATGTCCTCCTCGGTGACGATGCGGCTGAGGCTGGGCTCTTGGGGGGTTCTCACAAAGAGTCCTCCTGCAAAAAAGCCACTTGTTTGCTCTTGGAGCCAGCCCTGGGCCGAGCACCTGAGTTCTAACTCCAGTGTGTTCCCAGCTGATGACGGTGGGCACCTGACTGCCTTTCTTGTCACATCTGAACTCCCAGGGAAGCTTCTCATGCTCCTTCATTCATTCTTTCTCTCTTTCTTCTCCACAAGGAGCCCATCTCCTCTCAAGTTCTCCATGCCCTCACGGTCATCCTGGAACCCAAGGATCTCACAGGCCTTCCCGGACAAACCATATGCCCCCCTCTTTCAGAAGCTCACAGGATGACACAATTTATTGTTTTTCCAGGTCCTACCAGCCCTCCAGCTACCCTCTCCCCCATACTAAATCTTCTCTAAATAGTTTAACTTTAGGTACCCCCACTCATTCTCAGAACTTTCGTAAATGGGTGCTGATTTTACTCTCAGCCCAGAGGAAATTCCAGGGCAAGCAGCATGAAATCTGTTGCTTTCGGAATGCTCATGGTCTTTTGTATGGCGTGGAACCCTACCCTGTTTTCAGAGGTGTGCACTGTGTCCTGGCAGTCCCCAATCCCCCTGGTGGTGACCGTGTGATGACCACATGTGGGGGTACTGGAAATGATGGGAACACAGTGCAGGGATGGAGGGAAGGCCAGTGGATTATGACAGAGGGGTTCTGGCTTGGGGTCCAGTCTGACTCTGGCCCCGGGCCCGGTGTGCACCAGGTGATTTGTAAAGGTCATTCCCTATCAGTCTTGGTCCTTATCAGCAGAAGGCAGGATTGGCCTGATGAGCTCTAGGAGTCCTCTAAGCTCTTACGGTTTAAGATCTGGGGACCAAAGTCCCCTGGGGGAAAGGAACCAAGGCCCAAGGCCGAGTGGTCAGTCCAGGGCTAGGGTGAGCGCTAGTCAGCAGGGGGGACCTATGTTAAACAAGTCATAGTTCAGAGCTCGGGGGTGGCTGCTTCTGCTCATAGCGGTCAGATGGACACTCATGTCACGTTTAGCTGACTCCTGCCATGACCCTCCTGTCCCCCTTCCCTCCCAAGAACCTCTCTTACCCATTTCACAGACTCTGCTCACAGAGAGAAAAGCCTGTAGGGAGCAAAGTTAGAAATGTCACTGTGGGGGAAGTAAGGAAATATGCTGGAATGGGTCATCTGTAAACCTTGTCACAACCAAAGGCCTACAGGTGCCATCAGGTTACATAAACATACTAAAACCCCCAGAGAGTGGGAGACACGTTCTCAGGGGTCAAAGCAGAGGTGGCTGATGGCCACGGCTCTGTGCCAAGGCTGCTCCTGGGTGCTTTGCAGGTTTGGTAGTGTAAGAACTTGGGTTGACACAACCAATGGGAATAAGAGATGAGACCTGAGACCTGTGGCCAGTGGGAAGTCAAAAATGAGATACTACCTGGGGTGCCTGGGTGGCTCAGTTGGTTAAGCATCTGACTCTTCATTTCAGCTCATGTCATGATCTCATGGTTCGTGAGTTCAAGCCCCAAGTAGGGCTCTACTAGGGCTCTGCACTGACAGTGCAGAACCTACATGGGATTCTCTCACTCTCTCTGCCCTTACCCCCAATCAAAATAAATTTTAAAACATTAAAAAAATAAAAAAGAGAGACACTTTCTGCCTCTCCACTATAAATCCAGTAAATCTGCAGTCTTCAGTTAAGGGGTGGATTAAAAAAATCCACCTACCATGCAGAGCAAAAGTGAAAGACATTGTTCCATTTCGGTATGGTTCTAAGAGGAAACCACAAAAAGTTCTCCCAGGAATTCATGGCTGGAAGCTTGCCTTCATAGGCATCTAGATTTAGACTTGCTCTACCTGAGTAGTCTGGAAACCCCTCAAGATACAAAGCAAACAAGAAGAAAAGTGAGCCTGGGCTGGCAATGCCACTGGGATGCCTGGCAGAAGAAGCAAATGCTGAAGCACATGAGGGCCTTTTCTCAGTTGCAGCTGAAGCAGACTGGTGCAGATTCAGTGCTGTTGAAGATGAGCTCACAAACCAAAACTGTAAAAACTCTCTCTCACACACACACATGCCCCACTGCAAGAGAGAGCAAACACAGCAAACAGTTAACATAAGAGTCTCCAAGGATATCAAGTCATAGAACTTAAAGAGAGAGAGAGGACTCATATGTGGAATAGGAGAAACTTAACAGAGGACCATGGGGGAGGGGAAGGGGAAAAATAGTTAAGAAGAGGGAGGGAAGCAAACCATGAGAGACTGTTAAATACTGAGAACAAATGAGGGTTGATGGGGATGGGGAGAGGGGGAAAATGGGTGATGGGCATGAAGGAGGGCACTTGTTGGGATGAATATTGGCTGTTATATGGAAACCAATTTGACAATAAACTATAAAAACAAAAAGAAAGAACTTTCCCAAAAACAAAAAGTAAGATAAAGAGAGAGGGAGAATGAAAAAAGTAACTATGCTTTAATGTTAAGCATTAAATTAATGACATAAAGAAGGAACTAGAAATCAAGAATAGAGCAAGGCTCTATCATAAGCGATTAGAATGATTTGCAAAAAGAACCACATACAACGTTCATACAAAAAACCCCCACAAAACACTGTTCAGAAAAGAAAACTTCAAAGATGTATCCAACTGGAGATCAGACACCACTGAATACAAGAGGGCAGACCTCAGGCTGGTCTGTCATAAGCAATGACAGAAGCTTCTACCTGGAATTCTATATTTGGATGAACTATTCTACAAGACTGAAAAGCAAAATGGAGATATTCTCAGGCCAAAAAATTGTCAAGTTCACTATCAACAGACTCTTATTGAGAGAAGCACCAAAGAAGGTCCTTCAGGAGGGAAGAAATTGAACTAAGTGCAAAGGGGAAAGACTCCAGTGGTGACCAGAAAACATGGGGATGTCTTAGCGGCACTGACTGTCTGAATAACAGGGGGGACAAGACAGTGACAGCTGACATATGAGATGGCAGGCAGGCTTGTGGAGATAAAGCATCCTAGGCTCCTTTTCAAGATGAGGGTTAGTGATGGCAATTGATTTGGGACTTTGATAAAGTTACACATGTGAAAATGGTAGTGGCAGGTCATGACATAATTTCTAAACTGTTGCATTATAAACTTTCTTTGATCTTAGTTTCAAAGCCCTGCCTGTGTGTGATGGGGAGGATGTAACCTTTCCCCATAATGAGGGGAGTAGTAAAGTGAGACCTCAATCACCCTGACTACACCGGCGGAAGGCTGGGGCGCCTGGGCAGCTCAGTCTGTTGGGTATCCAACTCTTGATTTCGGCTCAGGTCATGATCTCATGATTCATGAGTTCAAAACTCCTGTGGGGCTCTGCACTGACAGTGGGGAGCCTGCTTGGGATTCTCTCTACCCCTCCCCCTCCCCCACTCACGCTATCTCAGTCTCTTGCAAAATGAATAAATAAACTTTAAAAAAAAGGAAAGGAGGCCAAGTTGCTCATTTCCAGACTCTCCCATACTCCAGGACCCCTCCCCCTCCCAGGGATGCATTCCAGAGGCCTTTGTATCTTTGCACATCCCCCCGCAACCTCACCTCATCACTTGCTCTGAAGAAGCTCTTGAAAGTTCGGTTCAGGTTCTGTTCCAGTTCAGCCTCAGCCACTCCCTAGAACAATCAAGAAATCAAAAGGAGGCACTCTGCACTCATCCTGAACCTGAATCCCTCAGCCCCCATCTGAATGACAGCCAGAACCCCCCCCCTCCCCACCCCAGCCAGAGTTAGAAGTGCATTGATTTGGGTTTTCACATTGAAACACTTATTTTAAAAAACAAAAGCTTCAAATAAAATACAAGATGCTAACAGTGGTCACCCCCTGGGAGGTGGGTTTGTGGATGTTGCTTTCTTTTCTGTTTTTCAAAATTCTTACAATAAGAAGGTCTTACTTGTTACAGGCCCTTTAAGGGAATGGGGGAGGGCTGGATGGGGGGGGCTGGGGTGAGGAGGGATCAGTTGCAAGGATTCCAAGAAGCCAAAAATTGTTCCATTCTCGTATCTCATTTTGCCATGGCAACTTCAGAACCAACTTCCTTGAGTTGGGCCTAAATTAGTACAGACCAACTATTATTCCATGTCCACAGACTACTCCCAAAGGACAGAGCAGCAAGGTTGCCTTGTGAAGAGCCAGGATATATAGCCCTTGTGGTGACAAAGTACCAGGTACCTCCATGGGAGTGTTGTTACAGAGAATGCCTAATCTAACACGGTGCTTTGCTCATTTCCAGGCCTCTGGCTTGTACACAGCTGGATTAGCTCTAACTTGAACTTGTTTCATCAGTTCCACAGATACCGGGCCCTTCCCTGGCAAACTGGGCTAGGAAGAGATGTTAATGTACAAAATAGACGTCCCCAGGGTGGGTATGGACTGAGGTAGATGCTGGGGTCAGGGGAAGACATTCTTGCTGGAAACTCTGGGTCTGCATCTGTGTCTCCCCTCCTCCCCTTCCTTCTTACCCCCATCCCCCACCCGGGAGCAAGTCCAGACACTAAGATGGGGTAGCAAGGGGCTTCGAGATCCATCAGTAGATGCTCATCTCCTGGCTGGTTTCCCAGGACATGACGTTTTTAGGGCATAAAAAGAAAATTTTAATCCAGTCTTTCGTTTTGGAAATTGAAAGCCCTTGGACCTGAAAGCTGTTATAAAACCTGTGTAAAGAAAGATAGGTGTCCCTGAGGTAGGGATCCAGCAGGGGCAACTGCTCCTAAAGAACCAAGATCCTTCCCCATTAGTCTGTTCAGGTTGCTGTAACAGAACACCATAGATCGCAGAACTTATAAACACAGACATCTCTCAGTATGGAGGCTGGGAAGTCTGGGATCAAGATGCCTGCAGATTCACTCCTTCTGGTTCATACCCACCCATCTTCTGGCTGTGCCCTCAAGTGGTGGAAAGGGCGAGGGACCGCTCTCTGGGGAGGGCGCTCATCCCATTAATGAGGGCACAGCCCTCCTGACCCAATCACCCCCCAAAACCACCTCCTAATACCCTCACACTGAGGATCAGGATTTTCACCTGAGAATTTGGGGGGAACACATTCAGTCTATAGCTCTGTGCCAATCTATGTTTTTCTCTTCCTTTCCAACTGCTCACCTGAACGTACCCAGACCCCAGCTGAAATGGACTACAGAGTGTCCTATGAATGGGTGCCCTTACTCTCTCACCTCCCTGGTTTAACACACTGGAAATTCTACCAAGAACACCTCATTCCCTCAGTGTGGCCTTCAAAGAGCCTTCGACACCTATACCCAAAACTGCCTCTTCCAGGAAGTCCCGCCTCCAGGCATCCCAATAGAACAACTCTATTCTTGTTGGAGCCCATGCAGCTTTAAGATGTCCCCCTCGGGCCACTTTGAGGGCAGGGGAATATCCACTTGGGAGCATCTGGGATTGGTCCTAGGACAGAGCAGGGGCTGAACATATGCTCCTTCCTCTCCTCCCCTTGATGTTCCCAGAAAGGAGGGTGCTGTAAGCCTTCTAGTGACCAGCAACCCTCAGCCCTGCACGTTTTAGAGGCCCTGGTACAGAGCGCTTCATTTATTCTGCACAGCGACATCGAAAGAGCTCCCAAGAGGGCAGTGTGCATGGAAGGAAACATTGATCGTCCGCAGCACTAGGTCTGCGGTTTGAGATTTTCTGATGCAACCAATGTTGGTGTGTTCATTACAATCTCCTCACATTTGCAAGATTCAATCACCATGATGATTCAGGCGTGACCTTCTGTTCCATGATGAGTGCCAAGGCAAGAAATAGCGGTGGAAGGAAGTGCATTTTAAGGGATGGATAAAAGCCCTGCTCAGCCCCGCATGTCACATGGGTCATCATTTTTATTTATTGGGAGTTGTCCTCATCCCAGGGTGGGGAGGAGTCTTCCCTGGTCAGGGCTCTAGACAGGGCTTTGGCCCGCAAATGGCCCTTAAAAGAGCAAATGGAGTCATTTGCAAAAGAGCAAAAAGAGCCAAGTGGGTCAATAAAAAATCAAAGGGATCAAAAAGGTAAATAAGTTTGTCCACCCACATGAAAGAAAATCAGATCACCAGAAAGAACGAGGACAAAGGTGAGGGCCAGAAAGAGGAGAGGACAATAACATTTGTACTCTGGTTATGTGCCCTGCTGATACCACCTGATCTGTGATTTATAAAAGGTGATACCATATTTTTAAGTCCCACAGACCAATGACAAGTTTCCTGCGTGCTTGCTGGGAGGGGCCCCTCCCTCTGTGCTCCTGAGCAGAGGTGAAAGGATGGACTTTGGAACCTAGCAAACAAGCTTCAAGCCCCAGTCCTGATACTTAACTAACTGGGAAACTTAATAATCCAGAACCTCAATTTCCTCATCTATATATTGGGAGTTCTATAAGGATTATACGAGATCATGATAATGCCCGTTTCTTACAAGGTCTGACACAGAGGAGAAATACCAATAAGTGGTAATTATCATTATTATTAGTATCTCCATCATTAAAATTAATATTAGATTGCATCAGAAATGTCTGTTTTTGAGCACCTGGGTGGCTCAGTTGGTTGAGCAACTAAGTCTTCATTTCAGCTCAGGTCATGATGGCATGGGGCCTGCTTGGAATTCTCTCTCTCCTTCTCTGTCTGCCCCTTCCCTGCACCTGCTGTCTCTTGTCTCTCAAAATAAAAGAAACATTAAAAAAAAAAAAAAGAAATGTCTATTTTTGGATCTGGTCCACTCACAAGCCTGTGAGTTTCTTACAGGCACAAAGTATTGTCTTCCTATTTTTGTTCCCACAGCCACAGCATGGTAATAGTAGGTACTCAGCAAAGGTTGGGTGAGTGAGAAGGAGAATGGAAGAGAGGGAAAGAAAAGAGGCAGGTATAGGAGAGAAAGGCTATGGTGTCTTCTAAATTATTGTGGCTATTATTTTTCTTCCCTCCACTGGGAGTTCATACTCACCCCCAGATGGAGGTAGAGTTGACACACAGGACAAAGTCGAATGACAGAATTTGCTCTCTTGTGACCCAAAACTACCAGTGGGGCAGGAGGACTGAAGACTATTCTGTATTCTAAAAGAAGCTTCTAGAACAAAGCCTTTGGAATTCCATGAATCCTGGAGCTCTGTCTCAGAGTACTCTGAGGCTGTTTAAGGCTGACCTTTTATGGCATGTGCGGATGGTGAAACTCACCTTGGAGAATGCATCAGAATTTCTTGGCCTTTCTTACTAACCACCTCCTCTCCCTCCTTCCCTCTCTTTATTTTAGAGAAATCACAGAAACTCACATCTAGGAGGAAACTTCTAGCTCTCTTTTCCCTGCTTTCTGTGCCTTCATATTAATATCCTTGGCTTTGCCCTTTCTCCTGAGATGTATTTCCAACTGTAGGTAAAGGTGTCTGTGTGGCTATATCTTGTCACACTCCTCAATGTGATCATTAAAATCATTCTGAAGAACCGATGAAGGAAATGTAATTTCTGGTGAAATGTATTTGTATTCGTACCCCAGTGTTATTGCCCCCTTATCTCACCATAGTGGGTTGAAGAGTGGCCCCCAAAAAGGTATGTCGAAGACCTAATGCCTAGTACCTGCGAATGTGGCCTTGTTTGGCAATGGAGTCTTTGTGGATGAAATCATTAAGACGAGTGACAGAGTTACAAATCAGGGAACACCAAGGGTCCCTGGCCCCACCAGAAGCTAGGAGACAGGCATGGAATGGATTCCCCCTCACGGCCTTCAGAAGAAACCAAATCTGCTGGCGCCTTGATTTTGCACTTTAGCCTCCAGAACTGTGAGAGCATAAATTTCTGTCATTTTAAGCAACCAAGCCCTGGAAAAATAACACCACTTCAGGAAGTCTCTTGATTTGGAGGGGTGGGTGAGGAGGGAAAGGGACTAGGGCCTGCGTAACCTCTGGGTTCATGGGGGCATGTACCCCACCCAGCAGCTGGATGACAGGTGCGCTGACCACAGGGAGGTCTCTGGCTCCCAAGATCTCCTAACGTGCCTCCATCCCCAGTTTCCTCCCTGTGCACGTGTTCCACTCACTGTTAGAGGAACCCCAAAAATGGAAGATACAATCAAGACCAAGTTTAGTATAGACTTTTTTCCCAGAGTGCTGGCAGGGGAGGAATTCTCAACCACCACGTGGGCCAGGGAGATCCCTACAGCTGGGAGGCCACAGCAGCCATCGCCTTGATCTCCCTCAGATCTCCTCACAGAGATACCCTCCTCCTGCTTCCCCACCCAGTGGGATTTCTCCTCTCTAATTGCCCCTTTTGTTCTTTCCAAGATGACTAGCAGGTATTCCTCAGAATGCACTTAATTGGGTCTATTGTTTCATTGCTGTAGTGGAGACAGCCACTTAAATCAAATGGTGCCTCCTCCAAGCTCGACCTCAGGCAGCCTCTGTCCGCCCTACAACCAACAGTAGAAGATGGGCCTGGGAGGGAAGAGGAGAGCAAGCATTCCTCCCGTCAGGGGATGGGGCCAGCAACTCTGCTTCGTGTTCTGTCCACCTCATAATTATTCAGATAATTACTCAGATTCCCCTGAAATGCTGGGGCAGGGTTTTCTCAAAGTAAGCCAGAATACAGGGTTAGGGTGGTTGTCCCTGAGATGCAAAATGCCACCCGAAATCTGGACCAAAAGA